AAAAAAAAAAAAAAAAAAAAAAAAAGGATGGCTTTCTCCAAGTAATACTTGTTATAGTTGTGAGTCTCCTTTCTTCCGCGAATAATATCGGGCACAATGCTCTTTACCACGAGGTCTGGGTTGTCAGACTGTCTCGGATTTCGTGCCAATATTTGTCTTAGGTGTAGCTCCTAAATCTCTACCATTGCCCCTTCTTATCCTCAGGTGGCAGCGATCAGTTAGCCAGCTTGAAGTTCGCGTTTAGGACTTTGATCCGTGTTGTGTACCGTTCCAACATGTCCCAAGTAAGAATCACGCACATTGACTGTGTGGAATGTCATAGCTTATCTATTAAGTCCTCCATAAGCCCTTCACAGGAAAATAAGTCAAGGCTTGAAGTCTTCCTAACTAGCCTAAAGAGTCTTGCATTATCCAAAGGGAATTGCTACACGGGCATGACACTTTGGCTACACGGGCATGACTCTTACACGGGCATGACTTTTACCACTTCTGATTGGTCGCATTGTCTCTGTTAACGACGCTGGATTCTGCCACCTCAGCCGCAAGTACCTGGGCCATTTTAACCTTGCTTCTGTGTAAATTACTTCATTTCGGCTAAGCTACTACGCAGCAACCCAGTGGTCGCGCAGTCGGGGCGACCCCCTCGAGCTTGCTTTCTTCATTTTCGTAGCTTTTAATAAACCATAATACGGCACCCTATGCTGTAGAGATAGCGACCAATTCTTTCACTACAATCTTGTTCTCTTCTCAAGACGTCAATGTCTTTGCCTCGCACACCTCCTCGCAGGTCGCGGAGCCCTAGTCCCAGTGATCAATCACAAAGAGGAAAGCGACACAAATCCAGTCGGCGACGCAGATCTAGTCCTTCCACAGTTGAAGACCGACCACAATCCGCGAGTAGCTCTGCTACGAGTATCGGTCAGTTCTACGGCCTCGGGGACGAAAATGCACTCGATAACCTGTTCGCCTCTTTCCCGCAAACACTTTCAAGTCTCCCACACCCCCATGGTTCACAGGGCCGCCATGAGCCTGCATGGGGCCTTCGATCTGACTATGAGATATATCTTCAAAATGACTTCTTCCGTGGAAAAAGATGGAGCCAGCGAGTCAGAGCGCTTATACCAGGCCCAGAATTTGATCCATTCGCCTCTGAACCTCCCGAATCACCCCCATCCGCCCAGCATCTCCCAACAAGGACAAGAGCCGAGTTCGAGTCCGCAATGCGCATAGTACGAGAGGTTACCGGCGAAGGTCGAAGGCTAACTGTAGACCTTGCTCGATCATACGAACGTGTACAAGCTTGGCGAGAGAGATGGGGATGGTCACCATTAAGTTTCGAAGCATATGACTCTCCTCCACCGTACTCTCCACCTCGTAGGTCACCCACACAACCTCCTCGAATATCACCGACGCCCGAAAATATTAGTTCCTCGCCTATGCGACAGTCTCTATCTCCCGCCCCGGAGCCAATTCCGAACCCAATAATCCCTGGCGACCCAGCGCCCTCGGCCGAAGTTCTTTTTAAAACAACCAACGCATTTGCAAAGGAGAACGGATTTGGTATTATTCGGCGGAATAAATATTCCTATAAGGGACGGTTGATTAGGTACTCCATTCAATGCGACCGGTTTGGACAATCTCGGGCCTCGGGGGGTTCTGGTCTTCGAACCCGAAGGTCTCGGAAGTGTGATTGCAAATGGATGATAATTGCTGAAGCCCTAGAGGAAGGCAAGTGGCTTCTTCGACAACATAGAGACCCGAAACATCACCAGCATAACCATGAACGGAGTATTACGCCATCTGCGCATGTTTCCCACCGCCGCCTTACTACACCAGTTAAAGCAACCATCGAGTCAGCAAGCCGTCGCGCGGGTATTCGAGCCAGTGATGTAGCTGCTATGGTTGAGGAGCAATTCCCCGATACAACACTCCTGCGGAAGGATATCTATAATGCCCGTTCGTTCATTAACCGAGAGAAGCTAAATGGCTATACACCTACTGCGGCATTGATCAAACTCTTTGATGAGAAGAAGATCCCATACATCGCGAAATGGGCCGATGATGATCCAGATAGACTGCTTGGTCTTGTCTGGACCTTTCCGTACTGTCTACAGATGTGGAAGCGCTTCCCCGAGGTTATTAGCTTTGATAACACATATAACACTAATCGCTTCAAGCTTCCTTTATTCCAGGCTACTGGCCAAACCTGTCTTGGAACTGTGTTCAATGCTGCATTTGGCTTAATAGATAACGAGAGGAGGGAGGGGTTCCAATTCCTTGCAGAGAGTGTTCGCAAGCTCATTACAAAACACTCACTCAGGGAACCAGATGTCATCATCACAGACTTCGACAAGGCTATGAAAGCTGCCGTTAATGATCAGTTTCCAAATGCACAGCAACAGCTTTGTATTCATCATATCCTTTCAAACGTTTTGCTTAAATCGAAGACTAGGTGGACGGGCCAACGTGAGGACAGTACTACTAGCCCTAGCGCTAGTGACAGTGAAGACATTCCCTCACAGGCGGATGGCGGGTTGAGCACTACAGATAAGCATCTGATCGAAGATCGGTCGAGTAGTGATAAGATTCCTCATACTTACCAAGGCGTTGTTTTAATGTGGAAAAAGGTTCTCTATGCCGAGACTGAGGAAGCGTTTGAGCAGGCATGGAGAGATCTTTGTAAAGAGTTCGACGACCAACGAGCGATCTTACAATACCTCTACTCGACTTATATGCCTGTTAGTGCTCAATGGGCACGTTGCTTTATCCGTCGTTATCGTAACTTCGGAATCCGAGTTACGTCCGGCACAGAAGCAAGCAACAATAATATCAAAAGCTATCTATTAAATGGCATGAGCCACCTCTACCGACTCGTCGAGGCAATGCAGGATATGATACATGACCAAGAACGTGCCTTTAAGGATGCCTGTGGACAGGATGATGTCCTGACTGCTCCACAATACCTAGGTTCGATGGGAAACTATCTTGGTGAACTACGAACAACCATGTCATCGAAAGGACTTGGGTTAATCAACAAGCAATACTGTATTGCTCGCAAATTTCTGCCGACGGGGAAGAATCCCTTCCCCGACTCTATTGGACTTTGCGACGACGACTGTACGGTCTCTATTGAGCTGGGAATCCCATGCTATCATAAAGTCTACGCAAAGCTAGATTCTGACACACGTTTCACTAAATGGGAGGTCCACCCACGCTGGCGACTACGGGAATCGGCATCTCAAGATCCATACCGACGAATTCTTGACCCGAAAGTTGCCACTGCACTACGTGGAAGGCCAAAGAATACAGCGCAGGTTATCCCAGAAAGCCTAGCTATTACATCAAGTAGCCGATCTGATAATCAACCAAGTGGGCGACGAGGTCGACCGCCAGGAAGTCTCAATAAGCCAACTCTTGCTAGGAGAGTGCATAAAGCTACTCGAGAAACCATCACACAAACTGGTGGCCAAATTGGCATCTCAGCCCAGCAAGGGCCAGGTAGACCTTCTAAAGTCCTAAATGCTGGGAATACGACAGGCGTGCGGTACAGTGGACGGAGGACGCAACGAAACATTCGCAGGACAAGGAGTCAATGGGAACTGGCTAAGAGTGATGACGAAGATCCAGATTGTATCGTTGTGAGGCAATAAATTAAGTAGACCACATCACGTCTTTTGCCAGTATTTGACAGTTACTGGCTAACAGTACAAGGACGGTAGTTTAATCCGAAATGCAGGCTTGCAAGATAGCAGAAGACCAATCGCGCCCACAACGATAAGTGACTGCAATTCATGGTGATGTAGGAGCTTGTTAGTGAAGTTGGCTACACCGCCTTTCCGAGGAAGTATCTGTGGGGCCAAGAAAGTATGCGACCAATCAGAAGTGGTAAAAGTCATGCCCGTGTAAGAGTCATGCCCGTGTAGCCAAAGTGTCATGCCCGTGTAGCAATTCCCTATCCAAAAGTTCTCTGAACACGTCAAGGAGCTATGCATTAAGTCTAAGCCCGCGGACTAACACTTATCTCCCCTGTCGTCCACGTTAGGCCCTGCCTTTCGATAGCCTTGCCAGGTACGCTTCTTCCAAATCCTGAAGTACACTACGGTAGCCGGTGTTTAACCCCTTGGGCTCCTAAATTGCTCATGGCCACGTCTTGCGGCCACAATGACATAATTTCCAGCCTCCACAATACGGAGTCGGAATAGAAACTGATTGGTAGTAACTAATTTCGCCAAGCCAGGAAGCATTTTGTTAGCAGAGAACACAAAGCCATGTCCTATTTTAGGAAGCCTTTGTGTTGGGTTAAAAGTTGGGCAGGAGGTCGAGATGGAATAATGGTACTAATCAAATCAAGGTCAAGCACAAACTATCAATCTTGTATATTACAGTCAATAAAAGAGGGGAAAACTATTTAAAGGCACTTCTAATAAAAGCTGCAACACGCTCGGCGTTCTTGCCCCTGCGTAGCATCGTAAAATGATTCGCATCCTGGATTCGTTCAGTTAAAAGCCTCCCCTCACCGAGCAAAATATCCCAACTATTGCCTCCAAAGTTGGTTCGATTTTCAAGCAACCACCTCATCTCACGAGGATCATCATCTCTGTATTCTGGGCGTGCATCGATGCCCTTGCATAAACCATCCTCAGCCCAGAGTATGTACGTCATCGGTGGTGGTGTAGTGCTATCGAGGGCTTTATCCCAGGGTACTGGCTTCCACTGATCGAGGGCGTCAATAAATGCAAGGAAATGTGCTAGTAGCCAGTCCGGCGCCTTGCCTTCACCAAAGAGCCCCAAGCCATTAACGAAGTCGAACAGCCGTGGTGGCAGCTTCTCAAGACCTATTGGATTAGGAGAATCGAGGAGAATAAGACGCTCGACAGCTTCACCTTCTCGAGTAAATTGGATTGCTGCTTCGTAGGCACAAATCCCTCCCGCAGACCACCCCCCCAGGTTGTACGGCCCGTGAGGCGCCCTGCGTCTGATTTCTCCGACGTAGAGCGAAGCAAGGCCTTTGAGGCCAAACTGAACCAGTTTTTCGGCCGACTTGAGCCAAGGGCAGTTGAGACCATACACACAAATGTCTCTGCCGACCGCACTAATGGTGGCGTAAGAAGTTGCCGAGCCCGAGCCATCTGGTAGGAGGAACAACGTATAGAGCGCAGACTTGGGACTACCTTGCAGGAGCGTTGACGTCGCGTGGTATTTCTTCAAGTCTGCAGACTCCCCTAGTCCGATTTCAGGTTCAATCTCTTGCTCAAAGACGTGCTTGAAAGAACTATACGTAGGGTGAGCAACGAAAAAGTCACCTTCCAAGTCAAGGTCCAACTCTTCGCGCAGGCGACTGAGTACAGTCAGCGACATGAGTGAATCCATGCCTAGTTCACCAAGATTAGCGTCGCTTTTGATGACGCTCATCGACACGCCAATCTCCTCTGCTATAATAGCGCACAAGTCTTCGCACGGACTGCTGGACATTGAGCCCAGCGGGCTTTGAGCCGGAGGAGTGGTCACGTCGCTGCTCATTGCCGCGACGGAGTCACTCCTGGGGGAAACGCCCCCAGAAACATTCGACTCGCCAGAGGACTGGTAAGATGCCAAAGTGTCCAAGCCAAGGTGAACAGCAAAGTCGCCGACGGTTGCGCAAGTTTCGAAGACCGAGGACTCGATATCCAGGTCGAGTTCCTCACGAAGTCGTCCGGAAATTGTCAGGGAGAGAAGAGAGTCAACACCGTAGTCTGCGAAGACGAGATCATATTGAAGACTAGTCAGGGGAATACCAATCTCCTCAGATAAAATCCTGAGAACAGCATGCATAGGATCTATTGCAGTAGTGGCCGACTTCAAAGCCGCGTCAAGCTTCAGAGGTTCAATGCTACTGTGTTGAGCGAGCTGAGCTGAAGATGCCGGGCTTGATCCCTGCGGAGGTTTCGCTCTAGAGATAGTAGCGTTGGGACTGGCATGGTCTCGTGTCTTGTTTGGAGATTTTGGCGCCGGCATCGCAGCGTCGAGCACCCTTCGAGGAACACCTTGGAACTACGGTAAGTTAGCAACGAAACGATGGTGATGCAACAAGATACGGCTTACCGTGATACTGCCGCAGACGCCAACGATGCCCTCATCGTCAAAAATGTACACGTCTCCGGCGTACGTGGTACCTTCGATGCATCGCATTCTGACATATGTGCGATAGGTCTTGTCTTTGCAGAATTTCCTCACTGTCCTGAAAGACTGCCAGCCATGGTTGATAAACACTTGGTCTAGAGGTGTTTTTGAATGGCCGTTCATCAGGAAACCAGCAAGTTGCCCGCAGCTGTCCACCCACATGGGATTGCATCGAAAGTTGCCCTCATCGACTTGAAATTGGACTAGAGCCGTCGCCTCGAAGTCTTCGGTGTTCACAATCGCCTCCTTCATGCCTTTGTACGCGCTGCTGTACTCAACCAAGCTGGAGAAAAGCTTGTATATAACGCCAGAAGACAAGCGGCTGTTGAGACCTTGATCGGCTTTCTCTTTGAGCCACTCAATACTTCGCTCGACGTAATATTGGGTACTATCCCAACTTCTAAGCCAGGCTCTGGATTCCCCGAAGCAAAGGCTAGACTTGGCATGGTCGACTGTCTTGTTTCCCTTGGCGTTGATGCTGTATATTGACATGGTCGCAGATTTGCTCGCAGTCATGTCGTGGACAACGTCAATCCTCAGGAGCATAGGCAGGCCCTCTTTATGAACCAGAGGCTTATTTACCACCATTTCTTGGACGTCTACCGAGTGGTCCTTGAGGTCCGCACGATATTTATCGAGAATATAGGTACCCAAGGTCACTCCAAAGTCTGCGTATAACGACTGAAACAACGTTAGGAGAGAAGCATGTAAGATAGATGGACGCGTGTACGTACAGAAGTGCAAACGCGATTGCCATTGACAACGTGTCCGTATACAACTTCACGCAACTGTTCGCTTGTAAACTCACACTCTGCCGTCAAAGCGACAGTTTCTCTGTCAACAGACTCACGGACAATTCGGTGGACTGAGGCAGTTGAGAAACTAGAGACGGGCGCTGGGGAGGGAGCCGCAGCTGGGACGGGAGGGTCGCCTCGTGTCAGCAACCAATCATGCACATATTCGATCCAGTATCGTTTGTTATCCCAGCTATAAGCTGGTAGCCGCAATACTTCTTTACAACATTCAAAGTCGTGGTGATACTCATCCCATGCGACAGACAAGCCTTTCGAGTATAAAGTTGCCAGACTTGAAGCGAGAACTTGCCACCCGTCGTGACTACGCATCAAAGACGGGACAGCAGTGACATCATGATTGATGTTGGCTTTAACAAGCATCGAGCACACTGTGTGAGGGCCTATCTCGATCCAGGCCGTCTTTTCAGAGACCAAACCGTCGGACTTGGCCGACTGTAGAATCCCACGGAAGTTGACGGTTTGCCGGCAGTGACGCTTCACGTGGCTGGCCTCAGACGTTAGTGTCTCGCCGGGAAGCAAAGACTTGCCCTGTAGAGGACATCCGATTGGCACACATGGGGAATGGAACTTGACTTGAGAGGCTATGGCCCCAAGCTCGTCCAGAATGGGTTCGACCTGACTCGAGTGGAATGCAAACGGGACATTAACTCTTGTTGCTTTGATGCCCTTGTCCAAGAGCCTCTCAGACAGCCGGTCAATATCGTCGACGCGGCCACTAACAACAGTATCCTGCGGACTGTTGATGCAAGCAATGTCGTGAACATCTGCATCCAAGTATGCTTGGACATCCTCAGCACTGCTCCGGACCGCCAGCATTGCGTGGCTTCCTATGCTGCACTTGTTCTGAAGCAGGCGGGCCCTCATGCCAACCAGGTAGATGGTATCGCTTGCCGTAAGAGCACCAGAGACCTTGAGTGCTGCGAAGTGACCTAGACTGTGACCAACGACATAGCTTGGCTGCATGCCGAAGGCGATCCAGAGGCTTGCGAGTGCCATCTGCACGCATACAGTGCCAAGTTGGACGACGAGTGGCTCGAGGTGCTCAATAGCAACTGATCCGTCGACGAGTGGCATAATCGAGGGGAAGCCGTGACGTTGCGCCAATATGTCGTACGAGTCGATCTCGCCGCGGAAAATCGTGTAGTGTAGCAAGTGCTTGCCCATGGCACCGTACTGAGACCCCTGACCGCTGAAAACAAAAGCGACGGCGGACTCGGATGAACATCTGCAGCTGTCTCGCCTGAGCTCCGTGTCCAGAGCACTCAATAGCTCCTCGGGTTTTGCGGCCGGTATGGCGACGCGGAATGGGTGGTGCATCCGCCGAGCAGTAGTTGTGTAAGACAGCTTGGACATGAAGCTTTCGGAACTCGATGTCTTCTGAACAAACGCCTTTAGCTTCTCCAAGTTGCCTCTGAGCGATTGAATACATTTGGCAGATGTTGTCACGACGTGGGCAGTCCGGGAATCCCGTTGCGATGAGGCTGCCGCGAGTGGAGGGTAGTCCTCCACAAGCAATGCGGTGTTGCCTCCAGCCGCGGAAAAGTTGTTGACAAAGACACGGCGTATATTGTCGAATTCACGACGCCTCCCCCACCGGGTGGCGGTCTTGGCTATGTGGACGTTGCGTTGCTCCAAATCAGTCGGGAATCTATGGTTGATTTTGCTCTTGATGCCACAGTGGGGTGGGATCATATTTTTTTCCATCATCAACAGGACTTTGATCAGTGATGTGACTCCGGATGCAGATTCCGAGTGGCCAACATTTGCCTTTGCGGAGCCCAGATGAAGGCTTTCATGTGGCAGGCGCCTGGGACCGGTCGACGGAGCGAAGCAATTCAGAACCGACGTCATCTCAGTTGCATCGCCGGCTTGTGTTCCTGTGCCATGCATCTCGACGTAGCTGACTTGGTGAGGATGGACGCCGGACTCGCACAGCAGCTTCGAGAAAATCTCCTCCTGTGCTCCGCTGTGCGGTCTAGTAATGGAAACGGACTCGGCAGAGTGATTGGTATGAGCGCCTGAAATGACACCGAGGATGGGATCGTGGTCTGCCATGGCATCCTCAAGCCTCTTCAGAACAACAGTTGCAACCGCGTCCGCTCGACAGTAGCCGTCGGCTTCGTCATCGAAGTTGTTGCAGTTGCCTTTTGACTACCGTGTTAGCCGGGAGTACAGCCACGATTTGACACGTCAACGTGCGCGTACCTTTTCTTGAAAGAAAATGCCCGCGATCCAACCCCACAAAGCTGTCAGGGTTAGACATTACATTCGTGCCACCGGCAACGGCTGTGTCACATTCATTTCTCCAGATGGAATTGCAAGCCAAGTGGATTGCCGCTAGGCTTGATGAGCTGTTCGCGGAGTAGGAGAAGGTGTTAGTTGAAGCCGACCACGACAAACAGGCTGAAACGGCGGCCACGAAGCTTACCATGCAGTATCGACGCTCACTGATGGACCGCAGTATTTGAAGAAGTAGTTGATTTTTCCGGGTGTAAATGCTCGGTTCCCGCCTGTAGTAAGGTTGGCCTTCGTGTAAGGAAAGGGTTTGCATTGCGGCTTGCAGACTGAAGCCCTTACCTGGTATAAAGTAAGTGTCGACATTCTGGCCGCAACTAACTTCTCTGTAGTCATCGCTAGTCATGCCGTAGAACACCCCAACGCGGTCTCGTTGGGTTGAGGGCGTCCTACCGGCAACAACGCCTGCTGACTCGAGAGCCTCGTACGCGGTTGTCAGAGCCAGTCGTTGGCCAGGGTCGGACTGTTCGGCCTCCTTGGGCGAGATGTTGAAAAACTTGGCGTCAAACAGCCCGGGCTCGTTGATCCAGCATCCGTGCATGACCTTGCAAGTGTTCTTCTTCTTGCCGGTGGGGTCATAGTACAGCTCTCCGTCGTATCTGTCTTTCGGGACGGGCCGATGGACATCAAGCCCTTTGTATAGGACGGCCCAGAATGCTTCCACGTCTGCAGCCTCGGGGAATCTTCCAGACATGCCTATGATGGCGATCTTGGAGTCGCCGGGGTTAGTAGCTGGGGCGGATTTTGAACCTCCATCGGCCGCAGTGCCTTCCATGATGCTGTCAACTATCGAGACGCAGTCCGCCAGAACCGGCGAAAAGGACATTTTGAGGCTTGTGCAAACGCCGGTCGAGATTGGAATCAAGGCGCATCGGGACACGTCTTCGACTGCCTCAAAAACTTGCCGCATGTTCTCAGCAGCCGCCCTCAGGTCTAGCGGTAGAATGAGAATCCCCTCGACAGCCCGAAACAGCAAGTCCTGGAACCTGGTACCGCTTGACAGGCTGCCGCAAGATGAGGTGGAAATGAAAGGCAGTTTACTTGACAAGCTGCTGACGGGTCCAACCGCCTGAATAACATTCTCGACATCACTGACAGAGAAAATATGCGGTGCATGGTATGGCGCATGAACAGCAAGCGGAGTCAACCTCGGCGCCTCTACCACTTGCGAAGACCTTAAGAAGCCCTGTAAAACTGCTGGTGGGCCGCTGACGGTCCAACTGTTTTGTCCCCTTGCGCTTATGTACGGCGATGAAAGAGGCGGAATGTTCTGTCTCGTTAACAGACGGTGCCATGTTCAGAAGGAGGGTGCTCTGCCTACCGTCTTGTCTGTATAAGACGCAATGGCCTCCTCAGCAAGCGCCAGTGGCAATTGCGAGTCCGGGACTGTATATGACCATGAAGCAGAGGACGAGCAAGAAGAATTGGCCGAGGCTTGGTGACTGAACAAAGCTGCCGTTCGAGAAACCAAGAGGCCAACTTTGAGTGACACAAGGACTGCCTCTATGCCTGCCTGGACCAGCTCATCCAGGGACCGAGAAGAACTAACCGCGGCTGCTGACAATGCCCCAATACACAAACCGGAGACGTGGGTATTTGGGCCCGTTGGATATGACTTTTGGCCATCTCCGAAATAGCTGTGCGCGGTTAGTAAAAAGTCTTGCTACATGGCGAAGATGGGAGGAGGCGTCTTACTTGAAAAAACAACACAGTTGATAGATTGTTGCCAAGGTGCTCTCCAAGGCTACGCTCCTTTCTTTCTGGAGTCCTCGAGTAACAAGATTTTGAATGCTCGAGAAGGCAGGGAAGGATCGGCGCTCTGCCGTCGTAAGGCGGGCTATTTCGTGTCTCAGGGCGCAGTTGACTTGATCGACGAAGGACACCAAGTAGATGTTGCTTCGCTTCAGGAGTAAGGGCTGCAAATTCGATAAATTACAACTAGTCTGATCTCCAAAAACGAATATCCGGACGGAGTCGCCTCCGGTGTCAGGCTGCTTGATTATCACGTGCTCCATGTTGATGCAGGCAGGCGTCGAGACTCGAAGCCAACAATGTGACAGACGCGAGGTAGTTGGGCCCTAGAGGATATCAAAGATATGTATTCAACACGCCGCAATTCGACTTTTCTTGCTTTACTTTTCACTTAAGTACTAGGAACAAACTATATAATGCGAGATTACTTTGTCCATGGTCAGATAGTCATGAGGTCACCCGCATGCCATTTTGGGACAAGCCAGTAGTGAAAGCGAAGCGTTTGAAACCTTGGTACCAGACGGGGTTTGGCTGGCCGTCGGGGAAGAGTGGTCTAGAACGGTTTCTAGCTTTTAGCTTAACGATGTCGGGACGTGTCCCCGGTAGAAACAGAAGTTGTATATTTCACGCAGAGTGGTCCAAGTCCATGGGATGACCGCCTAGTCAGGAGCCGCACCATGGCGAATGGACTTTTCTTGCCCGGAATGTACACGGCGTGCCGTGGAGTGTTCGGGGATTTTTTCCTTCTTGGCTCCATCTATTCAAAGTTTCGCCCATTCAAGGTCAACTTTAACAACCGCGGTTGTGCATTCCAAAGACAGCAGGCCACGTGAACCTTAAAAGCCACAGTTTTGCATTCCAAAGACTGCAGGCAACTGAGACATATGTAAGCATGCCGACCGGCAAGTTTGACAAGATGTCATCGCGTCCGCCAAACCCTATTGCAAAAAAAAGAAAAAAATGTACCCCATGACTAGGTGATGTAAACTGACACCAAGCTTCCCTGCTTATGTTTGGCTTGATGGCCTTTTATTTAATCACAAGCTTTCCGTTATCTAGAAACTCTTCAAAATAACCAATAGTCATGCTGGACAGTAGAAACGCCATCAACAGGGGGTTTGGCCAAGATCAAGGCTGATAAGACAGATTGCTTACGTTGATCTTGAAGTGTCGGCAAACTTCTGGTGGTCAGGGGCCACCTTCTCCATGAATCGCGGATCACTCTTCATGCGCTGAAAGTCTTCCATGCACCGGAATACAAACTGCACGATGCAGTCATAATCAGACGGCTTGGAGAACTCAGGGTCACATAGCTGGGGGAGTAATCGCCGACTTTTGCTGTCGTTGTGGGTCTTGCACCGGACAAGTTAAGAATCTGGATGCTGTACCATTATTGGGAGAGTAGCGGCGCCTCACCATGTTGTACCGGACAATGCCATATTCTTCCATGAGACAGCTGACCAAGGGAGCGTGGACTTTGGTCATGTACTCTCGGTAGGCAGCCTCGCTGAGTCCCGGCCTGCGATAGGCAGTAATTGTAAGACACAGGAGTTGCTGCGAGTTCGGGGAGGCTGATTCAGTGATGGTCATTGCATCTGACGGCTGGAGAACGAAGCAAGCTATGAAAAAATGCCAAGGAGCTACTGCAAAGACGTCGGCACATGGATCCCTATAAATAGCGTACATGTCCTGTCCAAAGGAGCTGCACAAATTTGGTGATTTCCAAGTCAATGCGAGTGTGTTGCTTCATCTCAGCACAACTGACTCTGGAATTATTTTGAATATCGCAAGCCGAGTTGCTTCAGTGGTGAGTCCGACGTCCAAAGCCCGTGAATCTAGTTTGTGACCCCCAGCACGAGACTGTCGTTCAAGCTGCAACCGGCCGGTTAGTCATTGTGGCGAGAGCTTGTATGAAAAGTTAGTTTCGAAAGCTTGGCCCCAAAAGCTTCGTTGTCAGACGGCGGTATAATCATTTGTTTCATTGTTGGCGTTTCCCACCATGCCACGGCCCAGTGAGAAACAGTGGAACCAAGTCATCGGACTCGGTCTCACATGTAACCATGTCTCCGGTACGTGGTCGGAGCAAAGGCTGCCGAATAGGCGTTCGGGCCGTCGACGAAAGCGTCATGTCGGCGTGCCAATATCTTGCATGCCGATGCGAGTGCCACAGATGCCAATGCCACGATCGTGGATGCCGCTGACATTACCTTGACATTACCTCAGCGTACTGTTAATATGGCTTTTCCGCCTCATGGGCCGATTTCCATCCACCTTTTTTTCAACTCTGTGTCGTGTTCCTGTCTAGACTCGGTTTTGGCTTGCCTTTTGCGATATACCGCAAGCATCGTCGTCCGTCGTTACAGAACTGCAACCTTCAAGTGAATTACTGTCTTTTCTTGAATCTGATACGCGCTCCCCAGTGTATGATTTCCTGTCATGGATCATTTCGCGCGCGTGTCGCTAGTGGCGGCTTTACTGTACACTAATACTTGGGCAAAAACCGTGCGGGAGACGCTGCGGATCACTTGGGAGGAGGGTGCTCCGAATGGGCAGCAGAGAGAGCTCATTTACATCAATGGGCGGTTTCCTGGTCCAAACCTTGTATGGGATGAGGACGACGATGTCGAAGTAGGTGGTTTCTCGTTTGTTTCGGTTTACATCGCGGTATTAACGACAGCCGCCTCATAGGTGACGGTTATCAATGACATGACCCAAAGTGTTACTGTCCATTGGCATGGCCTTGAGTATGTTGAATTGCTTCCGAGCAGTGGAAACGTTTACCTGACACAGGACTCGGCTCCAGACAAAAAAATACTCCTTGGTCTGACGGCACGCCCGGTCTTAGCCAACGACCTATCCAGCCCGGGGACAGTTTTGTCCACAAATTCAAGGCATTTCCACCGGGCAATCATTGGTATCACTCTCATCAAAAGATGTCGCTGGTTGATGGGCTTTACGGAGCAGTTCACGTCCGGTTGGTTGCACCAGCACCTTTGCACCTTTTGTCAACAGCTACTAAATATCCAGCGCCCAGGCCAAAAGGTGATCGCAAAGGACTGTGGAGTCAGATAAGCCAGGACGACAAGGACATTGAGGCCATGGAAAAGGCCGCGTGTGACCCCGAATATCTAGTCGTTTCAGATTGGAGCCAGTATACGTCCGACGAATACTGGAAAATTTCAAACGATTCCGGCCTTCCCGTATTGTATGCCCATTTCGCAATTGCCTTTTTCTCTCCCTCCGCCCGGCCTATTTATGCTTGTTATTCTGACTCGACATTTCAAAAGTTGTCTTGATAGTATCCTGGTCAATGGCAAAGGGGAGGTTTACTGTCCGGGCCAGAAATTCCTCCAAGGGGAGCTTGCTCCGGGCGTGCTTGATGCTTTCCCCCCAGGTACCGAGGTATCAGATAAAGGGTATGCAAGTAGTTGTCTCGGACCATGACTCCCTTGTCGAGTAGAGATGACGCTGACCGGTATGTGGCTAGATGTTTCTCGCCGGCTCTTGACCGAATCAAAGGTGGTCCTTGGAACATGACTGAACGCCCGGATCTGATACCACCACACGTCGAAACTGGCTGCGTTGCATCTAGGCATGAAAATGAAACCATTGTCGTTGATCCAGGAAGGAACAACGGCTGGGTGAGCATGCACATTGTAGCTGCTGCGACCATCGCTCAGATTGCCATTTCCTTCGATTCACATAAGTTTTGGCTGTATGAGGTTGACGGAAACTATGTCAACCCCAGAGAGTATTTCTCAGCAATCATTTCTGCTGGAGAAACCTTCTCCATCATGATGAAACTTGACCAGGAACCCGGCAGATATACCGTGCGCATACCCAACACCGGGGCGTCGCAGGTATTCAGTGCCTTTGCCGAAATGGTGTACAAGGGACACGAGGAAAATGACAAGAAGCTGGGGGAGGCCCGTCTGTCCTACGGTGGAGTCCCAACCTCACCAGAAATAAAGAACAATTCATACTTTCCATGGAAGCTGGATACAGACCACATGTCGCCATGGCCTCCAAGCACACCCCGACCAGGCAACGCTGACGAGGAGCATCTCCTGGTGCTCGGCCGCGTTGGCAGTCCCAACAATCACACCATGAACGCCAAATACCTGTACCCGCTTGGCTTCCGAGATGAGGAGCCTCTGCTCTTTTATCCCAACGCAACGCTTGGCACTGAGAATGAGGGCCTACTGCTTCGCACTAGAAATGCGTCTTGGGTTGATCTCATCATGCAAGTTTCTACCTTGGCTGGCGATGAAGTAGCCTTTAAGCATTTCATACATAAACACGGCGGCAAGACCTGGCGAATTGGCTTCGGAACGGGCGTCTGGAACTACTCCAGTGTACAAGAAGCCATTCAAGCTCGCCCCAACGACTTCAACTTGGAGACCCCGGGCTTTCGCGACACATGGATCACCGCTCCCTCAGCCAGCGGCGAGAAACACTGGAGTGTTCTCAGGTACTATGTGGACAATCCGGGACCATGGCTCCTTCACTGCCACATTGAGCTTCACTTGATGGGTGGAATGGGCATGGTCATTATGGATGGTGTAGATGCCTGGCCTGACCAATTGCCTGAGCAATACCGGCTGGGTAAACGCCTCTAGGTGCATGTGCATCGGGCCAGTGGCATGCAGTGCCTTTTCTTCTCTTTTATTGCCTTCCGTTTCTTTTCCCTTGTGTCCTCCAAGTCCAATGTCAAGACGATGGTGCCTGCTGGTCGTCCTTGACCATCAACGGTTCAACACATGCCGTCAGCGACTCACTTGGATTCTGTAGATCCTCGACAGTCTGCCTGGCGCAAAGGAACTTGGACGAAAGTGCCGCTAGAAAACGGCTACGAGCGAGAAACACTTGTATAGAAACGCAAGCAACTTGAAGGTTTATTTACACCCAGCTACGTGGTTAAGGCCTACTCGTACATGTAACATAGTTTTGTCGCGACTCTACAGACTTGATCGGGAATTTGCAGAGCCTCTTTAGATTGATTTCCCCTCCGGAGGGCCTTCTGCGATTTTTTTTTACTTTTTTTTTTCCGCCGTGCGGCGCGGCGCTGTTTCGCGATGTCGTTGGAGTAAATAAATGCTCTGCTGTTGTGGTGTTTGTGAGGTGCGGGTCGAAGGTGGGGCCGCCCTTGGACTGGGGGGCCAATTGGACTACGACCGTCGTCGATGCACAAAGATGCGTGCTGGCAGCCTGGCATCCTGTAGACTAAAATGCCGAGTTGGGCTTAGTCAGACCTTGCGCAAAAGAAGGCTGCCGCGGTGGCGCGGTGGCGCAGCAATCGACTCGCGAAATTTGAAGCTCAACTTCATCATCTGCTCCCAATTACCGCAAGCAGCACCCCTGTACGCTCATGGCTTGAAATAATTGCTTGGCCATCTCGGCCTAAATCTGCTCCACCCGCGCCTGGTTCAACAGATCGTCCATTCAACAGTGGCGGTCCAAATAGACTTCCTACTCCCACAGTCATGACACTTGCAACGTGTGTATGCCGCGCTCTTTCGGTGGCTGGTTCCTCTAAAAGGTCCATGTGTATATATATGCCTATAACTTTTCAAGCAACAGGTAAGGCTGCTGCCGTACGTCATGCAATCACCCGGCGCGTTGGGATATATAAGATTTGATGGCGTTTCAGGCGGCGCCGGTTCATCCGTCCGTCGTCCACGCGAGGCCACCAATGAAGGATGCCCATGGACACACAACGCAAAACAAGCCACGATGCCGTCAAGGCGCGTAACTGACCGACAAAATTCTTAGTCAAAGGTAATTTTTGTCGCCTTTTGCGTCATGTCTACTTCCTTGAAGAATGACCCGTACATGTCGTGGGGCTTTTTCTTCACAGTCGTGCCAAACTTGAGGAGTTCTTCGGGGACGGACTGATTAGCGCCCCTGAGAATATTGACCAAGCTGCACGGACACGGGTTAGATGAGGCGGATTTGACCCCCAAGCTTTCGTACGAGTTGAACTCTACAACTTACGAGCCCGAGTGCGCCTTGTCCTGCACTGTAAATAACGTGTGAGCCTCGCCAGTGTTTCCCGCACGGCCGGTACGACCAATTCGGTGGACATAGTCCTCAATGGTCAAGGGGAACTAGTAGTAGCCACGGTTAGGAAATCGCTCCCGCAGTCCCCATATGGATCATCGACCTACAGTAACGTTGATTACTAGCTTGACCTCGGGAATATCCAACCCGCGCGCAGCGACGTCGGTCGCGACAAGCACGGGAGTCTCGCCCGACTTGAAGGCTTCCAGGCTGCGCGTTCGCTGCTCTTGCTTCAAGTCGCCGTGTATGCCGCCAACGCGAACGCCCTTGCGGCTGAGGAGATTTTCCACGCGGGTGGCCTCCTTTTTGTACAGGCAAAAGACGAGGATGCGGTCGTTCTTGTGCCTGCCCTGCTGATGTTGTTTCAAAATCTGTAGCAGCCGAAACTCCTTGTCCTTTGGGTCAACCACCTCAACCCTTTGAGTGATCCGGCTGTTGGCTTGCAGTTCAACGGAGCCATTCTCGGTCTCTTTGCCACCTGAACCAATAGTGATCTTGACAGGGTCAACCATAAAGGTGGAAGCCAGGGCTTGAACGGACTGTGGCCAAGTGGCAGTGAACATAAGAGTCTGCCTCCTCTCTCGGCCGGCACAAGCACCCAAAATGTGCCTGATGTCGTCCTCGAAACCTTTGTCGAGCATGCGATCAGCCTCGTCGAGAACGGCAAATTGACAGCAACTCAAATCGACAGTGCCGTCGGACATGAAGTCCCTCAACCGGCCAGGAGTGGCCACAATAATGTCGGCGCCTCGGTTGACCGTTGCCCGTTGTTCGTCCTTGGATGAGCCTCCATACAAGCAGACGCACTTCAACGCGGCCAACGCGGCCAACGAAGCGAGCTGCGCATGTGTCTGCATTGCTAGCTCACGTGTGGGCGAGACAACGACTGCCTTGGTTCCCTTTCTGCCCATGGCTGAGACGGACTCAACGCAAGGCAGAGCAAAAGCCATTGTCTTGCCTGAGCCTGTCTCTGCAACACCGACGACGTCTCTGCCGGAAAGCGTAGAGGGCCATGACGCAGCCTGAATGGGAGTGGGCGTCTTGAATTTGGCAAAAGGCGACGGACTTTTCTCGAGCAAGTTGGTCGAAGGGAGGTGGTGGAACTCCGTGACGGGGCGAAGGTCTGATGTCTCCCTCCGAGGATCCGTAATGGTAATCTGGTTCGTAGACATGAAGGCATCGATGTCGACCTGGGGAACGTTGGACAGACTAATTGTTTGCACATATGACCCGGGGTCGGCAGCCCCTTCCGTATTTGAAGCTGTCTTGTGACTCTTAGCCTTGCTTGGATCCCCAACAGGCGTTTTTGTTGGAGTAGTCTCTTGCAGTTCCTGTGCCTCTTTCTGCTTGCGCTCCTTCTTCTCCTTCTTCTTGGCCTTCTTCTCAGCCTTGCGTTGGCTTTCGCGATCGCTTTCGGTTAAGTCGTGGCTTGTGGCGTCGGAATTTTCAGACTTGCGCTTCTTGTGCTTTTTTTCTTTCTTGCCCTTGTCCTTCTTCTCGTTCCTCCTCTTCATGTTGGATTCGGACACGTCGTCACCATTGTAGACCTTGGGCTTCTTGCTGGGGCGCGAAGACTCATCTTCTGCAATGCTATGTTTTGTGGCAGCCATTTCAATTGAATAAGGCAACGCAAAATATCGTCGAGCCGTCGGGGGGAGGAAGTAATCGTGCCGCCGTGAGTGCGGCCGGGTAGAGGATCGGTGGGCTGGGAAAATTTATCTTATCGATACGAAACGACGCAGCCAACGGGCATTGCGTGTGGGAAAGTAATGTGGGCCCCCGGCTGTAACGCGGTGGGGCCGGCAGGCTGGGGGCAGCCGTTGGTCAGATCCAGTGATGCTTCGGCTCGACGCGACACGACGACTGCGAGACTCGGACCTTCAATCTTAGGTCGTAGAGCGCGTCCCCTTTGGCCTTTGGCTTCCGCACTGCAAACCGCTTGTGGGGGGACGTAACTGACTGACGGGCTTCATTTGCCATTCTCGTCCATACAACACCCCCAAGTCACAATCTCGAATCCCGAGCACCGAGTAACTACTGTTCCAGACTTTTGTCTCGGCCGAAGCACCGCCTCGGCCCCTTGCCGCGAGCTGCCATGACTTCAGAACCTGCGCCGCATGCGAATGAGGCAACCGAGGAGAGCATGCGCGATTTGGTGGGGGTTTTTTTGTCAGTGCCGTGCTTTGTTCCCGTGAAATGGCCACTGGCCTTTGATAAGTCGACACGGCTGCGAATTCTGACAGTTCAACTGCGCCAATCAGGAAGAAAAACTACAGTAAAGGAGAACTTGCTTTGAAGCATGCCGTCGGGCTCGGTAGGCAGCCCAACGCCGTGCCTGTCACAGATCCGGTGCTTGACGGACCACCACGGCCCGTCGAGGTCGGATGGCATCCCGTGGGCGGTCTGGCGGGCAAGTGGTTCGCTGAGCAGACGGGTCTGGGCAGGATGATTGCCGACAAGGCTAACAAGTATCCGGATCCGACGCAGCACTGGGCCGTGCTTGTTGGCGAGTATGCTCACCAGCTGTGGATGGTACGTCTGCGGCCCCTCGATAGAACAGACCCAAAAGCCATGACGGAGCCGTGTCGGAGCCCCTGGCTCACCAAATGAGCCAACAGGACGAGAATTTCGACGTCATTTACACGAATGAGAAGATAAACCGCGGGGAGTGGCGCACATTTCGCGTCGGCGAAACGCGCTTTAATGATGATGCTACGCGGCGAGCTGGTATGTTTGCTTGGTGTCCCGCCATCATCACTCTCACATGTCAACAAATTAACAAGACTCTCCCAAGGTGAGTCTGTTATTGAGGCCATCAGAGAGAAACAGCCGGGGTACAATCTCATCACCAATAATTGTCAAACATACGCCCTGCAGCTCCTCGACGCCATCAAAGTCGGTTCAAAGAAGGAATTTGGCACAACGTTGGCCGTATATGAGAGACTGATTGGTCCTGGAAAGGTCAAAGATCTTTTCGTCGACGTCCAGCCGGCTGAAAGTCAGCCCATAGATGGCGAACATCCCCAGGAGAATACGGTTTCCATGGCGCAGCAAGTGATGCATGATAATACGGCCCAGCTTGATACCAAAGCCCTGGAAGAAGATGGGACCAGTACAGGCGATGGCGCTAGAGACAGGAGCTTGGATCAAGACCAGGGCGAGGAGAATATTCAGAAGCGCAACTTCTTTGCGCGCCTGCTGAAGAAGTAGGGCAGCTTTCCATAAACACTGGGAGGTGAAATCCCGCGCATCGTATGCAGCCGCATGAACGTCCATATTTTGAAAGCGGTGAAGTTTGGTCTTGGAATACATCACCCTTTCCCACTGGACATGGTACGCCGTATCGACAAGTTGTAAATGCAGACATGGAAGGTGCCTATCTGGGCACATATTAAACCAACCGCCTGTTGTTCACGCAAGGGCGTGGCTGGAATCCAATCACACGTGTCATGCTTCAAACTTGGCCAACTGTGATGTGGTGTAGGGTGGCGATATACCTTGAACGTGTTACAGAAACAAAGAGCTACCATAGGTACAACATGCTTTCTGAAAAAACGACACAAGCTGCCGTGATGGAACCGATACCGTGGGAAAGATGCGCCTATTCTTGCACAAGGTACCTAGTGAACTTGTACTTGCACGACGACTCCCCAACGAGAATTGGCGTATGGGACCCCACAATTGGTTTGGTTCGTGGAATCGAGACCCCCACGTCAACGTCAAGGAAGCTCAGCCTAGTCCTACCACAAATTCATCCAGTCATCACATCAATTCCACAACAGCCAGTCCAAGGGGGAAAAAGGGAGAGGAGCACAAACAAACGCAGAAACAGACGAGACTCTCCTTCCGAACTCTCCCAGCTGGCCTATCCCTCCAGCGCCGTCGCCGGCACCACGCGCACCACGGATTGGGCTGCCCTTGCGCGCATCAAAATGTCGTCCAAGGAACGACGACCGAGGGAAAAGGACAAGGACAAGGTGCACAAGCTCTCGCTCAAGGGCAGCTCTAGACTCGTCGCCGAGTTTGTACGTCTCCTTCTCCCACACAATGCGCGGCCTGCTCCTCCCCCCATCAGACAGCTAACCCTTTCACCATTCCGTCTAGTTCCAATACTCGATACACTCGATCCTGTAGGTCGAGCCGTCCTCTCTTTGGACATGACAACCCGACCGTCTGTTGCGTCAAAACTAACGGCATACATACAGATTCCAACGGGGCGTCTACCCGGCCGAAGACTTCACCGCGTACGTCTGCCAGCTTGCCACGACGGGGCCTCCATAATCCAAGGATACGTACAACCATGCTAATGCGCAAGCTCGCGTCCCCAGCGTCAAGAAATATGGTCTCAACATGCTCGGTACGCCCCAATGGTCTCCTGAATCCCCAGTTGCCGTCGTCGTGAAGCTAAACCCTCGGTGCTGCACAGTCTCGGCCGACGACCAAGTCAAGGCATACATCAAGAAAATCATGAGCCAGCTCGACAAATGGATGGTAGGCGGCAAGATATCCAAGCTCGTCATCGTCATTACGGACAAGGATACCGGAGAGCATGTCGAGCGTTGGCAGTTCGATGTAGGTCCTCGAGCCTGACCCGGCCCGGCCCGGCGGCGGCACAGAGACTTGCTTTCCACGACGTCTCAAAGCGCCCTTCATCCTTCAAACATCGTGGCTGACAACAACCCGCGCATCCTGACTAGGTTCAAATCTCTCAAAACGCAGCAAAGTCAAAGTCCAAATCATGCCCCAAGCCCACCGATCAGGAAAACGTTGCGCCATCGGCAGCAGGAGCAGTAGCCACAGAGAAGAGCGAAGCCGAGATCCAGTCCGAAATCGCCGCTATTTTTCGCCAGATTACGGCCTCTGTCACATTCCTACCACAACTGAGTGGCGACTGCACCTTCAATGTACTTGTCTACGCGGATGCAGACAGCGACGTTCCCATTGAATGGGGGGATTCCGATGCCAAGGAGATTGCGCACGGCGAACACGTCCAGCTGCGGGGGTTCAGCACCGCAAATCATCGTGTGGATACACTCGTCAGCTACAGGCTGGGAGACTAGAAATGGAGTACAACGGCAAGCGAACTGAAGCATGCACCAGTGTGAGACGACACGTATCCGTGGGCCGAGCGTAATTAGGCCTTGATGTGCCTCTGGAAATGAAACAGGACGAACGAAAGCGCATTAGAAGCATGGCTAGCGCATGAAGATGAAAAGTCGCAATTGGCTTCTCTGGGCTTCTACAAACAGTTAGTGTGCCCGGGTGCGAGTAGTCCCTGAAAACATGTGTCCTGGACCAGCCAAAATGTCCCACAATGTCGTCGAATTCGTTCAACCATGCCACGGCATCCTCCCTTCCTCGTCACTGCTCGTCATCCACAACCCCTAACCCGTGCATTCAAATCCCTCGGCGTCATGAAGCCGACAATCTTTGTCCTCGCTTACACCAGTCCAAATGCTGCCAAGTCCAGTTTTCTGTGGGCAAATGAATCATCTACAACGCCGTCTAGTTCTACAAGCCCTGCATTAGACATCCTCCCTTGGAACTCTCTTGAAAAAATAAACGTACGCAAACTTGCGCATCTCATCAAAGTCGGTTGCCTTGACGACCTTCTCGTCATTGAAGAGTACCCAACTAGGAGGCTGGGTGCCCTCCAACTGTTTTCGTATAAAGGCGACATAATGACTACGTATCTCGTCTAGTCAGAAAAGCCCGGGAAGAAAGAATAATCAATCAAAGTAACCAGCAAGGCACAACTTACCCAGCGTGTATGCTCGTTCCCTTGTGGCACACAATAGATTGAAGTTGGAACTGCGCGGGAACCGTAGCACGTCCAGGCGACTCGTTGGAATGAGCTCGCTCGCTAAAACCGGCGCCCTCGCCTTCAAAAATGCCTTGATCATCCGGATGGCTAAAGAGCCACTCGACAGCCCGCTCAACATCACCGCCAGTCTCCTTCAGTGCCTTCTTAGCCTGTGGAGCGCCGAAGCCCATGGCACCGAGCATCTCCATCTTTTCGGGATCGGCAGTGTCGCCGCCGGTTTCTCCACCTGGGATGCCAAGGTTGAGAGGAGCGTCAATATCAGGATCGTCAATGTGCCTGAAGAGCCACTCCATGGCCGCATTGGCGTCCGAATTCCCAGTGGCATGCAAGGCTTTCTCGCAGCGATTGAGTGGGAATCCCATGCCTTCCAGCTGCGCCAATGCAGCGGCGTCGGGAGCAAATGCGGGAGTCTTGCTTTCTGGCTCCTTTGGCAGTTGTTGTTCATCGGGCTGCAAGCCCTTTGACAAGTATTCGTCAAGCAAGAAGGGCTCATCAGGTACCACAACGGGTACATCAACCTTGACCGGAACCCAATTTATCACCGTCATCTTCCGGGCATTCACGACCAAAATCTCGGGAAATGTCTTGAACAGTGATTGCTTGCTGAAACCGTCGTTACTTCCACAGCTTGGGCATGTCAGTTCGACCTTTTCAGCTGTCGCCAAGTCGTCGAGGCACTGTTTGAGTGTGACTGGCCTGTACAGGTCTGGGGGCTGTTGAGGCTCTTCTGCTGCACGTACTTGCTCCAGCAGGGGAACGTCGATAAAGATGCTGTCCTGCTCATTGCTAGTATATCGCACTTTTTCGCATCTGAGACACTGCAGCCTTTGTTCCAGGACAAATCTAAATGCTGCGGTTGGATCCTTGAGATGGCCGGGGTGCTGCGATCTAGTAATGAGCTTGAACAGATGCTGAAGAAGTTCGAATGCATCTTGCTGTCTCATGGTCGAAAATTCCTCATGACCACGTCCAATCAGATGCTTAAGCATGGCCGGTGCCAGTCCCTTTTGGTGGTGAGCCTGTGAATTTGTGGACGGGTCGGCATCAGGCTTAGAATAGCGACCAGACCACAGGCCGTCTCCCATCTTTCGCAGCTGGGTTTCCAGGTCAGTCGCAGGGTCTTCGACAATAGGCAAATCATCATTTGGCCGAAAATAACGCTGGCGAAATGCTGGCATGTCGAAAAGGCATTGAGTGACGCTTGCCAAATAGCAACTGTTGCCCAGGTTCTTTAGACCAGTTAGGCCTGGCCCAAACAATGGCTCCAGCTTCTTTCCGTCTTCTGTGGTCGTAGCGAAGTCCCATTTGAGGTTTTGTTCGATTTGCATCTCCGTCAAGCTCTTTTCCGTCTTTTGTCTTTCGGCCAGTCTGATTCCCCAATGAGCCAGGTGCTGGCCCAACATGTCGTCGATGCGTTCATCGTCACACTTGTAGCAGTAAATGTCAGCAGTGCCTTCGGGTGTAATAGAACCCAGTTTCACGGCTACGCCATGGCCGGAGTCTGTAGAATGAGCGAGCGCATGAGAATTTCCACCCACTCCCCCTAACTGCTTGCGGCCGCAGCCCAGATTGCCACACTCGAGGCACAACCAGAGATTTTCCCGCAAGTCGCACCCTGAGCAGTGACCGAGCTCACCCTGTTCAATTTGGCGTGATTCCTGCTGCTGCATAAGCAAGACATGCTCGCAGCTCGTGAGTTCTTGCTCCCAGGCCTTCACTTCTTCTTTGCGAGAGAAGGTGTTGGCCTTGATGACACCATTCACCACTGGTGCAAGCTTTGCGTGTGTAATATCGAGTTCGGTATCGCAGTCGAGGCATTTTGCAGCAAGGGCGGTATCATATCTATCCTCGTCTAACTCGGCGGCAATGGCAAGCTTGGACATTTTGGGGGCGGGTTCATCCCGAACGACGATTTTCCGGGTCCGGCGAATGTTGAGTGACAGCGGATGGCTTCGGAGGCTGCTGTGAAGTTTTGAATGGCGGCGGTTACCGGCGCAACCGCCGTTGAAGCACTGAAGGCAAACATCGAGGCCGGCGGGTTCATCCTATGGGAAATGCGATCAGGACAAGCTTACTTGACCGATGACGACGTCGATGCAGCCGGCACGGATTGAAGGGCCACACAAGCAAACATACTATGGAGTCAAAGCACTGGGTACAGTCTTCACGATACACAGACTGGGAGAGAGTCGGTGGAGCGAGCGCTGCGGAAAAAACAACAATCCATGTCAGTTTCATAAATTGGTGAAGATCTACGTAAGTCACATGCCAACAGGCGGAAAGGAGAGCAGCTCACCAAGAGACTCGAGATGCGGGCAAGACATGGCGATACTGAAGGCTCATGCGTCAAGAGAGCAAGACTTGGAAGGAGCTATTGCAAGGCCAATTCAACGACTGCTATAGGGCACCAGCAATAGAAGAATAAAGGGGGCGAGTCGCAGAGATGACAACAGACGGGTGACGATGCAAAACACAGAGAGCAGGCAAAAACCAGGCGGAGAGCAAGGCGGGGTGCAGGGGGAGAGCTGTCTGTCACTTGCCTCGTGTGCTTCGTGTGCTTCGTGTGGGGCTCGGCCCCAATGACGGCAGGCCAGGCACGTTCAGCACCCGAAGCATGAACCAGAACGGGCTAGCGCGCGCAGACGGCATCACCGATCAGGGTTGGGGTTATCAGGCCTGGGGATGGCTCATTCTCAACTTTGACTTGATCTGGAGCCTTTTCCATCGATCCGTTTGTTTGTTCGATGTGTGACGGATGACTTGAACTCGCACTTGGGTCTCAGGACCGCATTTATTAGTTTACACGGAGCTTGTGGTCAACAAAGCCTCAACTACATGACTAGCTGCAATGCACAAAGATTGCAGCCATCACGACGCCCTCGTAGGCCACTCGTAGGGCACCTACAGACAAAGGACCCCCTTGATGCCTCACTAATCCGGGTCGGGTTACTCACAAAGGCATTTTCTTGTTCAGACAGCCCTTGTTGGTGGGGCCCTTCAGATCGAGGAACTAAGGGCCTTGAAGACCATACGATATCATATGTGAATCCAGTCTTTTCCTCCAAGCCATGCTCCCTGTGACAAGCCCTGGTAGCTTGTACGGTCTTGGGTCATAATATGAATAGACTTTTACCCGGTTGACTCAACTACAAGGGCAAGCCAAGCGGTATGCAATCATGATTGAACTAGCCATGCCTAGTGACCGTTTCGCGCACAAGTAATGATTTTGTAAACGGAGCATAGCTAGTTACTAGTGTGTAGGGGGCAGATTGTATGTACAGAGCTATGAAAAGGGCACAAGATCCTGTACACTGCTTGAGTTATATGAGATTTGCTGTATAAGTAAAAGATGAAAACTTTTGCTCTTTGACATATTGCTACTGTGGCTTCTATCTTATAAATTTGTTTAAAACGTATTTTATAAGCTCACAAGCTCGTATTGTAATTAGCCCTAATTTTTGTGGCTAGCTCTTGTTACAATTATCGTGAAATGGTAGGTAGTTGGGTCGACCAGGGCCTCCCGATGGGGGATTGCTTCCGATCAAACCAGCTTCCGAGCCCATATAAGCATGAAGTGGGAGTGTTGCGCGCATGTAGCGGCCAAAGAAGGGGCCAAATCTCGGCATCGTGCACCACAAGCAACCAGTCGTACTGTCACTCCCGAGTCATGACGGAAGGCGAGTCTACAACCATGCCAACCCTCGTCGAACAGCTTTTATACGAGTCGCCATTGGCTCCCCGCATATTGACTAGTTGTGTGGCAGGAAATCGATCCACTGGATTGCTGCCATCTCCCGCATCCCCGGGCCCGCAGATGCTGCTCTGCTTCCAAGTTCCAGCATCATTCCGGAAGTAGCCCATCGCTAACGCCGCCCACGGCCAGACATGTCCTGATAGAACTAGTCTAGAAGCGGCGAATGCCCGACCGACCGACACACAATCATCGTCGGTTCAAGTCGATTGCGGAGATCCCGCTCCCAGGCGTTTCCTGCGTGGGCGCTGGGCAAGTGTTGTCGACAAATGGTCCCAGGTTGACAACGTCCTCGACTCTTTGCATCACGCGTCATATTCGCAGCCATCGTCGACTCGGCTTCTTGCTTTGGCAACGGCAACTGCCTACATCACACCATGCCAGCCGCCACCGCAGATGCCCTTGTTTCCACCAAGACACCAGACGCCCACCATGTCGGACACGACGACTATGGCATCGATGAAGCGCTGCCATCCCGCGCCTTGGGGATTGAGCAGACGCGTGACATCACAGAGGCGGAGCACGACTTGGGCTTTTGGCAAGCCGTAAAGATGTACCCCCAAGCCACCTTCTGGTCCATGTTCTTCTGCGTTGCCGTTGTCATGGCTGGCTTCGACGCTCAAATCATCACGTCCTTTTACGCCCTGCCCGCATTTCAGCGCAAATATGGCGACTGGGTTGGGGATCACTACGAGGTCGCCGCGCCTTGGCAGACGGGTCTGGGCATGGGCAATCCCATCGGTCAAGCCGTTGGGGCTCTCGCCAGCAGTTTCCCGTTGCAGTATCTCGGGCGCCGCAAGACTCTTGGTCTATGCTGCATCTGGTCCATCTGTTTCATCTTTGTCCAGTTTTTCGCCACGTCTATCGGCATGCTCTGTGCAGGGGAGGTGCTAGGAGGCCTTGCCTATGGATTTTACGTTGTCATCGCACCCACGTACGCCTCTGAAATATGCCCCGTCACGCTTCGAGGCTTTCTTACAACGTCTGTCAACCTAGCCTTTGTTATTGGGCAGTTCATCGCCCAAGGCTGTGCCGCCGGGGTCGAGACAAGGCTGGATGAATGGGCCTACAAGGTCCCCTTTGTAAGTTGGCAAAACAGGAAAACGTTTACATTCCGTGACAACACTAACCTAGTTTCTACAACGACGTACTCAAATAGGCTGTCCAATGGGTATGGCCTGTTGTCTTGCTTTCAGGGCTTCCCCTTGCTCCAGAAAGCCCATATTGGCTCGTCCGCCGCGGGAGAAGGGAAGAAGCCCGCAAGGCGTTGCTGAAGCTCACATCCAGCACATGTCGCCCAGACATTGACAAGCTTCTGGTTGGAATAGAGCAAACCGACCTCCTGGAGCGGGAGTACGAGACTGAAACGACTTACCGCGACTGCTTCAAAGGCGTCAGCCTTGTCCGCACCGAGATATCTGTCATGGTCTATTTGATCCAAGTGATTGGCGGGAATCCCCTCATTGGCTATGCGAACTACTTCTTCGAGCGGGCCGGGTTGAGTCCCTCGGACTCGTTCAAAAGTAATGGCGACCCGTGCTGCTGTGGACTGTTCTGTTTGCTTCGAATCATGCGCTAACAGCACATCATGTTCAGTGGGTGTCGGCAACACGGCTCTGGGATTTATTGGCACGGTCATTTCTTGGCCTTTGATGAACTTTGTAAGTTGCCTTTGTCTTCACATGTTTTCCCCGTTCAAGCAGACGCCGATGCTAACTTGGAAACTTCAGTTCAATCTAGGCCGAAGGACCATTTACACTTCGGGGATGGTTGTCATGACCACCCTTCTCTTCGTGATTGGCTTCTTGAGCATACCAAAAAACAATACGGGAGCTATATGGGCCATGGCGTCCTTAATGGACATCTGGACCTTTGTATACCAAATGACCGTCGGACCGATTTGCTTTGTTGTCATTTCAGAGATATCAGCCACTAGGTTGCGCGAGCGCACCATAGCTATCGCAACAGCGGTTCAGGCGTGCGCCAGCATCGTTTTCACAGTCGCAATGCCCTACATGCTCAATTCGAATGAAGCCGATTGGGGAGGGAAAGCCGGGTTTCTCTTCGGAGCCATCAGCGTTGTTTGCCTGGTTTGGTGCTATTTCCGCCTACCAGAAAGCCGAAACAGGACGTATGAGGAGTTGGACATTCTCTTTCAGCGGCGCATTCCAGCCCGCCAGTTCAGGAATTACGATTTGTTGGCCGAGGCAGAAGCGCCTTTTGATGATGCCGAGGGGTTCTAAGGATTGGTGTATTCGTACCGGGCACGAAGAATCACTCCCATCTTTATAATAAAAATTGCGTCTTTTGTTAGCGTAAGCACCACACCTGAATTGACTTCAAATATCGGGCGTCTTTTGTCAGAAGAGCCCAAGAAATTGAACCTCCCTAGCACCTAAATTCTCACGTTCGTCCCCGTGTCGGAGACGAGAAGTAGTATCAAACTACTCTTTATACATTATCCCCTTTGTATTTGAAGTAAACCGTACAATTCATCCAGTCTGCGCAAGGCTTGCGCGAGGTCCATCAGGCCACTTAGTATGTCATAGCAATCATAGCAAGTGCAAAGAGTAAAGCCCGAAAAGGCGTCTTGGCTTATCTATGGCAACACCAGGTACAATGTATGCTCAAATAGTTCACCCCTTTCCCCTGCCCCCGGCAATGGTTCTTGTCACACTTCTGTACATCTATCTTGACCTGCAGTCGCCCTTGGCTTTGGTGGCAACCCTCCGGGGTCGCAAGATTTGGAGGGCATGGAGATGGATTTTTTTTATTAAAGGTTTCATCTGTCACACGTAAAGAGGGGCTCATATTTGATTCCGCTCAATAATATCCGAGACCGGCTGCCTATGCACAAAGGCCGCAGATATCACAAAGTATCACAGTGGCATCACGAGCCCACGTTAGGCTGTAGGTGCTAATGATTCGGGCGTAACGAGCAACGTGCCGGCCAGTCCGGCCGGAAACAATTCCGAGTCGACACCGGAGCAGGAGGGGAAACCACAGCAAAGCCGTCTTTAGCCTGTCAGCCTTGGGCTTCACAACCCCGGTCGTAATCCGACCCGGCTACGGAGACCGGCTGATGTGCTGCCGGGGGGGACAATCCAACTAGTAGGCCGGAGAAGCAGCGGTCCGGATAGAAGCAGTGCCCCGTCCGGAACGCTCGCATTGCGCGTCGTTCATCACGACAGAAACATCGTCTTTTAGTTCTTGTCGCCGTGAACGCGCTACTGGCAGGCGGTCTCATCATGTACACGGCGTTATTTGCTTCCTTCGACGCCCTTTGCGGGGCTGGAGCAATCTACTGCTTCGTAAACTTGGGTTCAGACCACCCGAGCATCATCGAAGCAATGCTCAAGGGCCAAAGGGAGAGAGGGGTGCCCGTTTCCCGCGGGTCGTGACTTGCCCGAGCGAGGGAAGACCGTGTCGCGACTACAGTGGCTTAGACTCTCGAGACAACAAACAGGCTGGAGAGTCGAGACTAACACGTCTTTCCATCTAGATGGTGGCAATGTCAATGGCAGACGGGTTCGCCCGCGTGACAGGCAAGCCGCAGTGTGTCATAGTCCATGTGGATGTCGGCACGCAGGCCTTGGGCGTCGCCGTTCACAACGCGTCCGTTGGTCGCGCTCCGGTCCTTGTTTTTGCGGGCATGTCGCCTTGCACGCTCGAGGGCGAGCTGCGTAGTTCCTGGACAGAGCATATTCATTGGCTTCAGGATGTCCCTGACCAAAAGGTCGTGGTTGGACAGTACTGCAGGTACGCGGCAGAAATCAAGACGGGAGCAAACATCAAACAAATAGTCAACCGTGCACTTCAGTTTGCTACCAGCGGTCCCCAAGGCCCAGTATACCTCTGCGCAGCCAGGGAAGTCCTGGAAGCCGACCTCGAGGCGTATGAGATCCAACAGGATCAGTGGGATGCCGTGGAGTTGGGAGGCTTTTCGCAAAAGTGCGCCGACAGAATTGCCCGAGCCTTGGCCCGAGCCGACAGACCTCTTCTTGTCACGGGAAATTCGGGCCGCAACCTGCACCGGCTGCCTTGGTCCGGTTGGCCGGTACCGTGAAGGCTCTTGGAGTTTTGGATAGAGCGGGCAGTGACGTGTGTTTTCCTGCCAACCATCCGGCTTGGTTAGGCATGAGAGTAGGGGCGCACGCGGCTATTAAGGAAGCAGATGTCATCTTGGTCCTGGACTGTGATGTGCCCTGGATCCCGACTAGATGTCGCCCGAGAAAAGAGGCCACGATATTCTACATCGACGTAGACCCTCTCAAGCAGCAAATGCCGCTCTTTTATATCGCGTCTCAGGCACAGTATCGAGCAGATGCCCTGACTGCCGTGGAACAGATCCTCCAGATGCTCACAACGGGTCAAGCAGCCGAAATGCTTGGTCAAAGGGACACTGCGGCGGCTGAAGAGTTGCGAAGTGCTTCATATACCAAGTTGCTGTCACAGATCTCGCGCGCAGCTAGGCCTTTTGCAGACGGCACGTTTGGCACGGATTATTTGAGCAGTCTTCTCCGTCGGGTTTGCCCTGAAGAGACAATATGGGCAGTGGAAGCCGTGACAAACGCAACCTTTATCCATGACAACATCCAGCCTTCAATTCCCGGATCATGGATCAATTGCGGTGGCGGCGGTCTGGGCTGGTCTGGCGGCGGTGCGTTGGGCATCAAACTCGCAACGGATTCCGAGGCTGGCGGAAGTGGAAAGGGGAAATTTGTCTGCCAAATAGTAGGCGACGGCACCTATCTCTTCTCCGTACCAGGAAGCGTATACTGGATATCGAAGCGATATAAGATTCCGGTATTGACTATCGTTCTGAACAATGACGGTGAGCTGCAACTTGACACTGTTTGAACCAGCTCGGACTGATAATAAAAACAGGCTGGAATGCGCCACGGAAATCATTACTTGTTGGTTCATCCAGACGGCGAGGCGGCAACAGCGACAAACAAGGACATCAACATTTCCTTTTCTCCTTGTCCCGACGACGCGGGTATCGCTGCCGCCGCGGGGGCGGCGACATTCACCCCTTCAGGGCGAGCGGTGCGAACGAACTAGAGTCGATACTTCGACAAGCTGTTGCAAAGGTCTTGGAAGGGCAGACGGCCGTGGTAGACTGCAAGGTGATGCTAGACTGCTAATGGGTGAAGGACGGGGCTTTTGGACGAGCTGGACACACATATGCTCGAGCTGAACTCGAGAGACAATTTCACGTTTCCAACCCTCTTGTGAGATCAGACCAACCAGTCCATGAGCCTGGGCCCTTGACTAGTCTAGCTATGTGCTTTCATACGTCGTCTTGCTTGGAAAGTACATGAAAGGCGGAGACACGGCCATCAAGGGTCGTCGCGTTGCCTCAATCAAAGGGTTATGAGGGAAGCCATTTGAAGGGAGGGCCAACGCCTCCTTTGAGGGTCAGGGTCTAAGGCTTGGGGTAAGCTTATTAGTTATCATCAGCGCCGTTTTGTCTTGGCTGCTTTTTTTCCCGCGACGGCAAGAAATACCGGCGCAGGAGCTGAAAAACTGTGCAAAAACCGCCCGCCCGCCTTCGTTAGACTCACGCACCCAAGGGCCATGATTGTCTTTAAACGCCTGCTGCAACAAGATGGTTTCCAGCCCTGGAGACGCGCACGGCGATATGTACTTACGGGGACGAACTTGAACTTTCGTGCTTGGACGCCGACGCTAGTCGTATTTCGGCAGGCAAAAAGGGTAACACGACGGTCAAGAGGACGACTCCAGCACCCCATTTTCGGTGGAAAGCGCATGATGGAAATCCCATCATCAGCAACTATGCCTTGATTGAGGTGTGGAAGCAGCAGCCAGACGAGGACGCTATCTGCCGCAGCGGTGGCCCGCGTGAACAACGACACATGATGCGGTGCTCTCACCACATGACACATGACATGACTGCATGCATTCTAGATAGGCCAAGGCCAAGACCGAGTCTTAGTTGAACAACTCACCCAGTCTCAGCCCAGCAAGCCGCCGATCCCTGCCGAGCGTGCCAGGGCGTCAGTTGCCGAGTTGGCCTGACGTGACTATTGCTTTTTTGCCTAGTGCAACTATATCCCTCATTTTTAAGTCTCCCTGCTTTGTTTCCTTTTTTCGAGGAAGAAGAGAAAAGAAAAACTAGAACAGACAAAAGGGAAAGGCGAAAACAATCAGCCCCCAACGGCCCAGAAATCTTGACTTTCACCCCCAGGATGAAGCCATAGGCATGTTGAACCACGGTCACCGGGGCCGTTGCAGTCTGTTGGAAGTGTCAGCTTTCCTCCACATGTTTCAACCGCCTCGCCTACTTGTTCAAGACACAGACAGACAATCAGTCGTTGACCTGTGCGTGCTCGACGCTCATGACCTGCCGTGCCACTTGGCAAGGGGGAAGGTGGGGAGCCGTTGCTTTCGCCCTCGAGACGATTGTACTGGTTATTTCGGGAATGAGGCGAGCAAGACAGTCGACGGGCGAGATGGCAGCAAAAGGGATAAAGTCTCGCGGCGCCCCTTGCAGCCTTGCGAGCACTTCTTCATTGCACGGCGAATAGCAGGACTGGTATGTCCGGTCCCTTGGCGTCTTTTGTTTTGTTTTGTCTTGTTTTTTCAGCAGATTCGACTTTGTATTATACGTCATTCCTCTTGAGCACAATCCTTACCGGCGGTGCCTTGAATCCATCGCCGGCATGTGGCTCACGTGTTGTTTGATCGCAGCTCTAGCGATGGTGTCTCTTGGATCCCCTATTGATCAAGTCGCTCGAGCAGTCACCCGACTTCCTCGTCTAATCGTCTATTTTCAAACAACACACGACGCCAGCGGAATGCCCATCTCCATGCTTCCACTGGTCACTGAAAAAGGCATTGCGCTCACTCACCTCATTGTGTGCTCGCTACATGTCAACGAAAATGGCCAAATCCATCTGAACGACTACCAGCCCGACGACCCCAGGTTCTACACGCTCTGGAACGAGACCGAAGTCATGAAGAATGCTGGTGTCAAGGTCATGGGCATGGTCGGCGGCGCGGCCCCAGGTTCATTCACCTCGGGCACACTTGACGGCGACGAGGCCACTTTCGACAAGTATTACCGTCAGCTGCGCCGTGTAATTCGTAACTTCAAGCTGCAGGGCTTAGACATTGACGTTGAACAACCCATGAGCCAGGCCGGTATTGACCGCCTCGTGGACAGGCTTCGGTCTGACTTTGGACGCGGCTTTACTGTCACACTGACGCCAGTGGCTTCTGCTCTTTCAGACGGAGGAAACCTCAGCGGCTTCGATTACAAGCTTCTCGACGCGCGCAAAAGGTCCAAGATCGACTTCTACAACGGTCAGTTCTATAGCGGCTTCGGCGACATGTCGACAACCGCCGACTACGACAGGATCGTATCAAACGGATTCTCCCCGTCTCGCCTGGTCGCCGGACAGCTCACTTCCCCGCGCAATGGTTTTGGATACATCCCGTATCAGCAGCTCAATGCGACGGTCATTTCTCTGAGGAGCAAATACAAAGAGATTGGAGGCGTCATGGGCTGGGAATACTTCAATAGTGCCCCTGGCGCCACCGAGGAACCCTGGAAATGGGCGCAAATCATGACGCAAATCCTAAGGCCTAATTCTGTTCCTAGTCTCACCATCTCTAGGGACATTGCGCAGAAACTGGCCACGGCATTTAGTGACAGTACCAAGTCCCATCGTTTGTGGACAAATGGGACTGGTGGTGCTTTGGGTACTGACTACCACGCCATGATCAATGTATAATGTATTCGTCTGGACATCTTAGACTTTTACAATACTCTATGTTATTGCCACGTATCAGCGCCTAGCGAAGTGCTTGTAATCTAATTAATGAACATACTCTATGGATTAAGTACTACTACTACTTAGTTAACTTTTGCATTTATGACTACAGATGTAAGGTTAGCGATTTAGTACAGGGAGCGCGAGATGACCTGCCCCTGTTAACAACTATTTGTGTTCTTACCGTCGATACTGACATTTTGTGTTGCGCTTGTTACTAACTTCCTAGCATACAGGAAAGGGCTAGATAACTTAATCACGTATTATAACGGGAAATATTTAAACTCCTAGCCTCTATTATAAACAAGACAATATAGCTTTATCTGCTTGTACTGTTATACTTTTAGTAATTTACTAAGTTTTAAGTGTGACTCTTTAGATAGACTTCTATAACATTATATTCTATATAGTGCCCTAAAGGCTAATGCCTAGAAAGTCTCTAAGGTGGAGAGCTATAGCTGCGTAAAACTTATTCCTCTATTCTATTGCATATAGCAACCCTTTAGCAAGTGCCTATAGTAGTTAAGATATTAAGTTTTTGCAGAATAGTTAAAGTAGATAAGCCTCCTATAGTTGCTTTATTTTTGCCGCAGTAATCTTTATCTATCTTAAATATAGAAGACTATATTATAGTAGGCTAGACTATTAGTATTCTAAGTTAGTATTAGTTAAGGTACTTGCTGTTATATTTATAGCTACTTTATTTTATTAGCTATAAGACGTAAAATATTGCAGCCTTACGTAAATGCATTAGGAGGTATTATAAGCCTAGCATTATAATATAATGTCTAAGCTAGGCAAAGTACAACTATTCTACTAGCTTGCTGCTCTTATAAAACATACTATATTGCGATTAGAGCATAATTAGCATAGAGAGTGTCTGCATTATAAATAGCAGCTGCCTACTAAAAGCTATAACTAGTGCCACTAGAGGGCAAAAAGCTACTTTAGTCTTAGAAAGGAGAAGGCATAAAGTTTAGTTGGATTTATTTTTAATAAGGCAGCTGTTAATTATTTACAATTAAAGTGCTGCGGAGGGTTGATCACACCTACCGTTATGACCTTAAGTTGTTCTTCTACGTTCTCCTCTGGATGTATCCACGTTGCTCATGGAGCAATAGGTGTAGTTGTGGCGGAGAAAACTACCTAAAGATAGCCTGTTGTAGAGATAGGAAATTGGCAGCTTTAAGTATATTGCAGCTGCTAAAGAAGGCGATATATCTGCAAATGTGCTTAAGAGAATTTTAGGGAAATTCCTAGAAGTATTTAATATCGTTAAGCCTCTTTGTCTGAAGATTAGGAAGATCCTCCTTCCCCTAGCCAAGGACGAAAGAATGACCTTTAGAGCCCCTGCAGGACAATTCAGTCAACTGAACAGGCTCGTTATGCATCGAACGAAAGAAGAATCGAAAGCTCTGTGACAGCTGGCTAACGGTTGCTGTCTCAACGCTCAGGGGTTTTGTGGCGAGGCTTTCACTTGGTGGCGCTATCCGACCAATTCAAGCACGAGTTGAGCACGGGCTAAGCAAATTAGCCAATTAGAAGAGGTTTTATGCTCAATTCTTTCTGACTGAAAAGAACGCCCTCCGGGCTGAATTACCTACTTTTTTAGTAAATGAAAAGTACTATTTAACTGATATTATTTGATTGGCCTGTAACCCCTAGAACAGGGTACCCACAAAGTGCTCGACTTTTAAAGAGATAGTCCAACTTGGACGGTAACTACCTAGGTAACTGGTTGTTATAAATTGCGGTGGCTTGCCATAATGGCTGTGCATTATAGCGGTCAAGCCACAGATGTAGGTGGTTCACGTGACGTCCACCAATTTCCTCGCCAGAACGCAACACAGCGGCCTCTCGAAGACCTGTAAGATACACAACGCCTTCAAAGGTCATTATGTTTCCGGGTCCAAGTCCGCTGAAACTGCGGGCATCTTTCAATCGGCTTCGAAGATGCTCTTGCCGCCGAAAACTTCTCCTTCGTCTTCTTTGGCCATCTCCGTGGCACTTCCAAGTGCCTGTGCAGCTCTCTCTGACGGAGCTCCAGAACACCGGAGATCAAATGTCTTCATCTCGACAGCCAGACATTCTCCAACTCTATTATATACCTCTATTTCGAGTACGAGACACGCCTCTCCGCTCCCTATATCGACTCTACGAGGACCTCTGCTCTAAGAACATTATCATGATGAGCTACGAATGCGACTACTACTTCTATCATGCTGAGGCACGTTGGCAGCTATGTCGTATCCCTGATCCTATGGAGCCGGACCCTACGAGGTACGCATTACTGGCTAGCTTCGCCGAAGCCCTCGTCTCTGCTTTCAATTGGAGGCTGGAGCTTGGATTGCAACGTGATGGCACCCAGATTGAGGGCCAGGATCCAATGAAGGTTCCGCTCGAAACAGCACCTCAATGGGCAAGCAAAGTGCGTCCTCTAGCAGAGAAGCTGGATTTGCGGCCCCACGATGAGAATAGCTCTGATCCAATATTTCTGCAGAGAAATATTCTGGCATCGACGGGCTATTTATTCTGTGTGTGATGGACGCGTGTGTCATGCTATATGTCCCAATCGGAAAGCATTTCCGCTGAAGGCTTAGCATAGGACTAGGCCTTGTAATGTCTTCCTAGCTAATTAATTTTCAAGGAGTTGAGATACAGCATACCCAAACCGAGTAACAAAAGCCTCAGCGACTTGTTTGATCGCTGCATCATCCAAAGGGGTGTAGACGATCGTATTCCAAGACTTCACAAGTTCATAAGAGAGAGGGCCGCCGTTCTGCTGTACCATCTGAGCCGGGATCTCCACAGCGTCACTCACGTCAATATGCCGACGCTCAGATCCAATCCTCTTCAACTTTCGGGCTAGCGACCACTCCCATTTCGCCGCGTAAATAATCAAGTTCGTTCCTTGCCAAAGAACAACACCCTGAGCAATAGAATCATAGAAGAGATGTCGCTTAGTCTCTCCTACCGCAAATACTTCCATGCGAGAATTAATCCATTTTTCAACGAGTCCTCGCTTTTGCGCCACCGCTGAGATGGCTTTTTGCAGCTTTTCTTTTACTTTTGTGACATTCTTGGTGTCCGGATCGATGATGTAGTCGATATCTTGCGTTGAATTGCGATTGTGGAAGAGGGTGACAGCCACAAAACCTCCTGCACTAAGAAGCTTGATTGGAGCAGCCGCTCGGAGATTCTTGGATTTGGCTATCTCGGAGTCCAATGCAAGAAGTGCTGCTAACAATTAGTACAAGGTTCAGGCATCCGAATGCTGACGCACCCTGGTGGAAGTCTTCGGTGGAGAATGTGACTCCGCGGCCTGAAGTCATCTTGATCATTTATCATAGCGATAATGTTCGTCTGAGCTGGAGAGGGGGTGCCTGCCTTAAATATGCGAGCAGAAAATAAACCGCTGTCATCCTTGAGTACCGGCCACGCTTTTATGGTAGTTAAAGCCGTGGTGGCGTGCAGGGTATTGGCGATTGCTTCCCGCTGGCCAAACCCTCTTGGCCTGGGCACCTGCAGTCAACGCCAGTTCGGTACAAGGCGAGGTCGTAGGCAAATGTGTTTTGGTACTCCGTACATTGTCCATTTTTTATTGAGCTAGTTCGGATGCCATGCACTGGGACGCCATAGAACTAATACGCCCATACCACTGTGGAGGCGGGAAGCTATTTTTGCGCATAATAATAACAAATTCAACATCTGCACGAGTAATACCATAAAACTTTTGCTGCACCGCTTCCCAAGTCTTATTCTTTCCAGCGTGAAGTAGTTGTAAATGCTGGTTGGCCGAGGCTCTTCGCGAATGGACCGGGCGATTCGCGAATTCAGTACTTTCGTGACTGGCCCGGAACATATGCTTGGCCGCTTGTCTGACAGCCGCACGCCATTGAACTGCCTCTCGAATGGCACCACTTGTATTTGTCGATGCGACTGCTATACTTCTCTTCGGATATCGTCACGATATCTATCCATGGTGTCTCACCCTATGGCGGGTCTACACATTATGCTACACGCGATATTAAGTTGTGAATATTGCAACAGTGGAGATTCGAGATCCAGCCGTATGGATCAATACCCTCCCCAGTTCCTCTATCCAAGGAGGTGTGAGTCGATCGAATTCGACGAGTTCAGGGCTCTCTGCACTATGCTGTTGTCTCCACATATGTTGGATTTAGAGCCCAAAATATCTCCCATCGTTTGCCTCTCTGTAAGGGTGCAGTGTGCATTTGAAACTGGACGCTGTGAGATCTCTCCAAGTGCCAACGAAATACTACAACCTATAGCGACAATACATTCCATCCGCGTGTATTCGTGCTAACTTTTAAATTCACATTTTTCGTATTCTAAATAACAGTGTGTCAACATTGAACTATATGTTTGGAGCTTTATTCTACGACCTTGTGAGCAGATTTCTCCTCGTACACTGCTCTCACAATAACGCGATTCACCGAAGTGGCAAGAGTACGATGGCGTTTGCTATACAGTGATATTGTCCGGATCCTGACAAAGTTCGCTCCCAGCTAACCTGTTCATGCGTCCCTACAAGTTTCGATAACGACATTATCGTATTCCGGGGCAAGTGTTGAAGCTTAAACTATCTGGACCTCCTTCCACCTCTTCGATTTACCTTTGCCCCTCTTGGTTGGCCTATGTCTGGCAACTAAGTCCGGATAGAGGGCTTGCACTGGAAGTTCCCACTCCTCCATGCATCCTAGAAAGCCTGTCAAGTAGCTTGTCTTGCCATTCTGTACCCTTACGCGCTTTACATGAGCGCCTTCGTGAAATCCCGTGAAGGCTTTTGTTTCGAAATCCTTTTGAAGGTCTTTATTAATGTCCACTTCCTCCTTGAATCCACTTCCATTATTCCACCTCAAGTAGAACCAGACTTTGCCCCTGTGACGCCATTTTCTGAGTAAGCGGTCAACAAAGTACTGATTATCGTGCGCTAATTCATTCTCTGTTGCTTTTCCTAAAATCTCTGCTCCACCTTTCTGATGCCCACAGCCATCAACTTTAAAACTAGACGAAATTATTGAGGGGGTCTGCACCTCAAGTTCTGTGGGATGTTTAGGCAAGAGCATTGGGTCAATCGCAATCTCTTTCTCAATACCGAAGACTGTTGGTATATCGTCAGCCTCTGACAGAGCGCAGCCCTCATCCTTCATGTCCATCTTGTCGACTTCAAAGTGTACCTCTGATGGTGGAGTTTCTGCGGCGTATATGCTATCCTCCTCCCATATACAGCTATCAGTTGTGCTAAATTGTGATGATGAGTCGGTTATGCCTTCGTCGGTCCCACACTGCCGCTCCGGTGATGTGCGCAGACATGATACCTCTAGTGGGCTGCTGTTTTTAATGCATTATATATATATAAAATATAACTTTATATTTAATTTATCTTTATATAAGCTATTTTATATAGCTAGATTAAATAAAGTATTAAAGTTTTATATTAGTCTGCCTTTAGACTTTAGCTTATCTAACTTTAAGTTATCTATATTTAAAGAAAATAGTATAAATAATACACATATAAAAGTTAGGCAGTTAAGGTAGGCAGATAGAGAACTTTATATACAAAACTTTTCTATAGATAACGAAGCTTAATAGGGTACTAGTCCAGCAAACAACACTAATGTACAGTCAGCAGATCTGTGTGCGTACATTTTTAGCTCAGGGAAAGCAGGAAGAAGTTCAGGTCAGCTCAGGTCAGCTCAGTGAGCACTCAGTGAGCACTCAGGAAGCTCACTTTGGCTCAGTGAGCAACGAGTGATTTAACGCCTGAGTTGGTGTGGCTTATAGCGGCGGTGCGGGCCGTCTGGATTAACGTTCTGTTACAGAAAGAACATGCGGAAGAACCCTAACAGACCTTGAGCAGAACGACAATTAATCAAGGATGTACAGCAATAGTATCCAACTGCAGCAGTCGGGATAATAATAAAGTTGTTAATTTTGGTAAAAATAGCTCCTTAGGTGTGTATCATAGCTCTGTCGGATGCTCTCCTGGAAGGTACAGCAGGTCTAGTCTAATTAGTCGTATTTTTCGTCTCTGTCCACGCCTGCTTGATTTCAAGTCGCCGTGACACTATTTACCGTCAGCCGACAGTGCTGCTGGAACATGCTATTCTGATTCACAAGCTCTCATTTTTACAATCACTAGTTGTGCCAAAGTCAGCGAATGTATATTTCCACGAGCCGAACTGTAGGGGCCGGCATCACAAAACCAACACAAAATAACAAGATTTCGCATTGTTACAAGAGCTCGTCTGAGGGCTTGGAGCATTATGAGCTCAGTTCAACATGTAGCAAACTTTGGTATCAACGGTCCTTTGTTTTACACAAGGCGTTTGCGGTCACAGGCTTCTATTTATTCTGTCCTCACTTATATCGCCAACATCGGTATGACGAGCATGGAGGGTCCACTTATCTACAGTTATTTAGCGCCAGGATTGGATCCTTTCTTTGCGACGAGGCACAGCCAAGTAAAGGTGGAATTGAATAGACTTGGCGCGTTCAACGGCTAGGAATAGTCACAGAGCGTTATAAGCTCGGCTGTTACCAGTCTGATAAGTTCAAGCTCAATAATAGAATACTTAATAACGCTAGCAATAGGCATATAAAGAGAAGTAAGGCGGATAGTTAATACAGATCTCTCCTCAGGATTCCATTGGTGCTGGCAGGTCGATATGAAGAAGAATCACCAGTCAACTCTAATTCATAGGGACCTTAGGTATCCTGTAATTACGTCTGTTTGAGAAACTAATATTATGTAACAAGAGCTAGTCACGATAATTGGGGCTAAGAGCAAAACTTATAATTACATATAACATCGTATAGTCTCAAAAGGTCCTTAGCTTTTCAATCTGAAGGATCCGACTTACGAAGGCTATATATAAAAGGAGGTGCCTGTGTGTAACCCTACTAGATAACTGAGCCACTAAGGTCCAAGACATGTTGGGCCTTTGTGCCTAGATGCCCCAGCATGCGGATCGTCTATGGAGGCATCGTGATAACCGCAACCGTTGTGCATTGCAGCTAGTCATGTAGTTGAGGCTTGACCGCAAGTTCCGTGTAACGAATTACACCAAATAAAATGAGAAGAGTGGCTTTAAAGACTAGCCTATAGTGCTGGCACGTTGTAACTAGGAGGTATATTTTACACTCGGACTGAAATTCATAGCACCATATGCCGGCTGCGCAGTAGAGCTCGTACTGAAGATGTTCAGTAATATTGCTAAATTCTTGCATAATATTCCGAGTCCCCTTCCTAGTTTTGCTTTTAAGACCAAATTTAACGACTCTTAGCGCAGCTATTTTCACTACGTTAGTGCTTTCCTAGTTACTCCACATCCAGTCTCAGCTGAAACCTTCATAGCATGCATCTTTAATTCAGGCACAGGTGTTTGTACACTATCTATCACACATGTTGCTATTAAGCGAATAGTGGCTGCAAGTCATGGCCAGAAGTAGCTACTACAAACAAAATCGTCAGCAATAGAAAAATTACTAATTTCTCAAAATGCACTACATTTTCAGTAAATGTATTTACCGCATTAGTTCTTTCCGCCAGCTAGCGAACTGACATGGAACAGGAAGAATGTAGGAGAATGAAGCATACGCAGCATTTATCATCTAATACAAGCTACCCTATATATCGCAAGCCCGGCTTCGAGTGAACATCTTGTTCCCGCAGTGTAGCAGATGACTGATTACGCAGAGTCAGCCTGGAATAAGTGAATCTTGGCACAGAGATGTAGGTCCAGTAGGTGAATAGAAAGAAATCACAGCCCTTAAATGTCATGACGCAGCAGTGCATTACAATCTTTGGTGACCTGTGACCAGCGCACGTTGCCGAGGCAAACACGAGACAAGTCTTCCCTAACAGGTGGCGCTGAACTTTGCAACATGTCATCAAGTCAAGTGTACTGGCGCCTTCACCACTACTTGAGTATACATCTGCTGCAGAAGTGGTTGAAATATTCCTTAGAGTTTACTGATTTGATGTTGAATAAATAGGCATAAATTCAGTTTACCGCGTTTATGAGTCAACGGTTTCTCATGACAGGCAGGCACACAAACCACAAGGCAGAAGACCAGAACTACTCGAATGAACCTCGAGGATATGTGCTCATAGTTCTGACTCAGCAAGAGCAAGAAGCAGGTATGTAAGTTGAGATTAGCGTGGCGGTTACGGATCGGCCAACCGCTCCCTACAACGTCAACACAGTACCGCAGTACTGTGAGAAACAGGCACATGACGTTTTTGCCGGGGTGTGTGGAGAGGCCCATATTGCAGGAGGTGCGGAGTATAGAGTTTGGAGTCCCTGCGCTGCGTGCGAGGGTTGCGTGGGTTGAAGCGTAGCGCATGGCTTTTGCCGCGCAAGCCGCTGCGGCAAGTCTTTGTTCGCGTCAAGAAAAGAACCCTTGATACAAACTACCCAGGTAGTTTCAGCTCGCAACAACACAAAGCCTTCACGCTTCGGGTCAAAGACTAGGCAGGTAGCAAATTCAATGGGACATGGACCACCCACTCACATAGACCGAGCGTCTTGTGTTTTCTGACCTCGTCCCTGCTGCCTTGGGGTGCCCGTGAAGTGGCTGGACGAGGAGGCGGGTTTGCTACGAGCGTCAAGTCAGAAGACTTTGTCGCGATACAGGCAGGCATGCGGGTGATCTAGACGTCATGATCGACAGAGCACAGAGCCGGCATTCATAAATTGCGCCTATTCACGTACGGCCCGGACTTGAGCTTCGGGTAAATGGATACAGTCGAGTCATGTCACCTCTTTGGCATATTTGTCTTCGCTCCGTCGCCCTCTTCACGCTGTGCGTGACGCGTTATCGAAACCGTCTGCCAGCATCGTGACTCCCTTGCCCTATCTTGTTTGGGAGTCTGTATCCCGCCGGGCTGGTCTCGATCTCCCCCTCTCTCGAGTCCCGCCACCTTATTATTGCCTCCTCCAAGTGGCGTTGACAAGGTCTCGCGAGTGGCCGGGCGAGTCAGGAACCCCAACCACAAAGGTTCTGCCGTCTGTCCGGACTCTGGGGAATATTTGGAGACGGTCTCTTCCCCCGCATTACCCCGCATTGTCGTGGAGCGATCCCGGGCTCCTCTACGGAGTACCATGATAACTAGTTTTTTACCTGCAGCCCTCCACGTCCCACTCCATCCAGGTCACGCTGGCGGTCTATGACGGATGGTGCGCCTGATCGGCATCGAATCCACTCCCATGTTCAAACTTCAAAGCAAGCACTACCAATATCCTGGCCTCTCAGAGGCTGTGGCCTGTGGATGTTGGCCAGGAAAGTCGAGCTTTGTGCCGACACTCCCCTCTTTGGAGACTATTGAAGCTAGCTGAGACAAACAAGTCTTCGGCAGATGTATCCTTGCTACTGCTTGAAGACCCCTCGCCGGTTGTTGCGGGGGTTGATCGCTTGATAGCCGCTACTTGGGGAACGTTTTACCTCTGGGAACCATAAAATTTGTCTTTCTGCCTCGTAATGCTGTTGTTTATTGAAGCTAAATCTTATACAGACGAGGATATTGAAAGCTGTGCCACTAGAAGCGGCTAAAAGGCCGAGAGGAATAGACGCCATCCGAAATACGTGACACAAGCCGCAAATACAAAAAATGACACGTGTACACGACTCTTCGTTGAGGCCTCCGTAAGGACACACAGGTGGGGATAACCCAACATTTGGAATTGGATACGTAATATAAGTTACACTATGTAATCATGCCATCATTTTGATCAATGCCATACTCTCCTGCGATTCCATGCGTTTTCGGCATGTTCCTTCATGTATAAATGCTATGTACTATTAAACAGAGTTGTATTATGCACGCTGTTCGACCCTATGTGACTTGTCCTGCTAGCTCGGACCCATTAATGACTGAAAAATTGCTTTGACGAAATCCGAAATCGTAGCCACAAGCTATTTATCCAAGTTAGCACATGTTTCTGTGTGAGGGGGGAAAAAAAGGGCGTGCTGCTTACAGGTGTTGCATCGCCAATCAATTCCGAGGTTTGGGATACAAACGTCTCGGTTAGAAGCTGCTCGGCATTTCCAAGCAAGCTCATGATTCCCTTGATGCTCTTGGGAGTTATGAGAGGAGCGACGCTGTCCACAATGCCTTCAATGTCGATCTTCTTGAGAGCATCGAGTAGAGGCTTCACTGCGTCGAGTAGTCCGGCCAGGTCTATCTTGCTGAGCGAGTGGAGCAGGGGTTTGGCTTGTTTCAAGAGTCCCGAGATGTCGGCGCCTTCCAAATCCGCGATGAGCGGTGCCGCTCCGTGGACAATTGTCTGCGTTTCGTTGACGAATTGGCCCGTCAGGAGGGCTTCGGCGTTTGCCAGGAGACCGATGAGTCCCTGCACCGTCTTGGGTGTGAGGAAGGGAGAGAGAGTGTCGAAGATGCCGTTGAGGTCGATATCGCCCAGGGCGTTGAGGATGGGAGTGATCTGCTTGATAAGCTTGCCGAGGTCGATCTCGCCGAGCGCGTCCAACAGCGGTTTCAATTTGGTAATGAGACCAGGCAGGTCGATGGTGCCAAGGGCGCCCAAAAGTGGTACGGCCTCATCCACTAGGGTATGAGTTTGGTTCACGAATTTTCCGGTTAGAAGACCCTCAGCATTTCCGAGCAGGCCGACGATGCCCTGAATGCTCTCCTTTGTCAATAATGGACTGAGAGCCTCCAATATGCCCTCCAAGTCAAGCTTGCCAAGCGTGTTGAGTAGAGGCCCTAGCTGTTTGATCAAATCTTGCAGGTTGAGTTTGCCCAAGGAGGAGACTAATGGCGTCGCACCCTTGATGAGGGTCTGTGTCTCGTCCACAAACTCGCCTGTAAGTAGCTTTTCGGCATTACCAAGAAGACCAACTATTCCCTTGATGCTGTTCTCGGTCAAAAGAGGCTTTAGAGCGTTCAATAGGCCAGCGAGGTCGATCTGTCCAAGGGTAGCAAGGAGCGGTTCAAGTTGCTTGATTAAGTTTTGCAGGTTAAGCTTGCCGAGAGAAGAGACTAATGGCGTCGCACTCTTGATGAGCGTCTGCGTCTCGTCCACAAATTCGCCTGTGAGCAGCTTTTCGGCATTATTTAGTAAGCCAACAATTCCCTTAATGCTGTCCTGCGTCAAGAGAGGCTTCAAGGAGTTCAACAAGCCAGCAAGGTCGATCTTGCTCAGCGTAGCAAGAAGGGGTTCAAGCTGCTTGATCAAGTTTTGCAGATTCAACTTGCCTAGGGACGCAACCAGCGGGGCTGCGCCCTTAATCAAGCTCTGAGTCTCATCCACAAATTCGCCTGTGAGTAACTTCTCAGCATTGCCCAGCAGCCCGACGATTCCATTGATGCTAGATTCGGTCAAGAGGGGCTTAAGCGCCTTCAACAAGCCCGCAAGGTCGATTTGGCCGAGTGCACCTAGTAGGGGCTCAAGCTGCTTAATCAGGTTTTGTAGGTTAAGCTTGCCTAATTCCGCAACTAATGGAGTTGCTGACTTAACAAGTGTCTGCGTGTCGTCCACGAACTCTCCTGAGAGAAGCTTCTCGGCATTGCCCAGCAATCCGACGATGCCCTGAATACTCTGCTTGCTCAATAACGGCTTGAGCGCTTCTAACAGTCCGGGGAGGTCGATCTGGCCTAGAGCTTTAAGAAGTGGTGCTAATTGCTTAAGCAAATCCTGCAAGTCTAGCTCTCCTAGGGCGTCGATCAATGGACCAGCCTTTGAAACGAGGTTTTGAGTCTCCTCCACGAATTTCCTGTTGAGGAGCAATTCAGCATTCCCAAGCAAGCTCACAATTCCTTTGATGCTGTCTGGAGTAAGTAGCGGCTCTAGCGATTTGAGAAGGCCGGCTAAGTCAAGCTTAGATAATTCATTAAGAAGTGGCTCAACTTGGTCGATCAATTTCTGCAGGTCGAGTTTTCCAAGGCTTCCTATTAGGGGGCCAGCAGAAGATATTAGGCTCTTTGTATCCTTGACGAAATCGCCAGTCAAAAGATCCTCCGCGTTGCCTAGCAGCCCGACTATACCCTTGATGCTGTCTGCAGTGAGTAGTGGCTCCAGCGATTTAAGAAGACCAGCTAGGTCAAGCTTAGTTAATTCATTAATTAGAGGCTCAACTTGATCAATCAGCTTTTGTAGATCAAGCTTGCCAAGACTAGTAATAAGCGGTCCAGCTGAAGATATTAAGCTCTTCGTGTCCTTGACAAAGTCGCCCGTTAAAAGTTGTTCAGCATTACCTAGCAGTTCAACTATTCCCTTGATGCTGTCGGAAGTGAGCAGTGGCTCCAATGACTTGAGTAGGCCGGCTAGGTCTAGCTTTGTTAGCTCGTTAATAAGAGGCTCGACTTGATCAATAAGCTTCTGGAGGTCAAGCTTGCCGAGGCTGCCAACGAGAGGGCCAGCACTTGAAACTAAGCTTTGAGTTTCGTTCACAAATTTAGACGTCAAAAGAGCTTCTGCGTTGCCTAATAATCCAACAATGCCCTGAATACTATCCGGAGCAAGCAAAGGCTCTAAGGCCTTAAGCAGCCCTGCGAGATCAAGCTTAGTGAGCTCGCTCAGAAGTGGTTCAATTTGGTCGAGTAGCTTCTGAAGATCGAGCTTGCCGAGGCTGCCGACAAGAGGTCCAGCACCATAGACAAGGCTTTGCGTTTCGTTGACGAACTTGGATGTTAGGAGATCTTCGGCATTCGTAAGAAGGCCTACAATTCCCTTGATACTGTCACTTGACAACAGCGGCTTGAGAGCGTCGAAGAGACCAACGAGGTCTAGCTTAGCAACCTCCTTCAAGATGGGACCAATTTGATCAACTAGGCTCTTGATATCCACATCTTTGAGACTGCCAAGAAGCGGGCCAGCGCCAGCAACCAGCGACTGTGTGTCGTTCACGAAGTTCTTTGTCAGAAGAAGCTCTGCGTTCTCAAGGAGGCCAGTAATTCCTTTAAGGCTATCGCTACTAAGTAGCGGTTTTAGGGCGTCAAATAGGCCAACAAGATCGATCTTGGCTAGTTCCTTGAGAATCGGGCCGAGTTGATCAACCAAGCTCTTAAGGTCGATATCCTTTAGACTTCCAAGCAAGGGCCCGGCGCCGGCAACAAGTGATTGAGTGTTATTGACAAAGTCCTTGGTCAGCAAGTCTTCCGCGTTGCCTAACAAGCCAACTATTCCCTTTATGCTTTGTTCAGACAGCAGCGGCTGTAATGCTTTGACAAGACCAGCAAGATCAATGCCTCCCAGCTCCTTGAGAAGAGGACCGAGCTGTTCAATCAGGCTGCCCAAATCAGCCTTGGACAGAGACTCAATTAGTGGGCTAGCTCCCTTCAGCACGGTCTTGATCTCCGTGGTGGTCTGGTTGTTCAGGAGTGTGCCGGCATTATCGACCAGTGAGACAATCTTCTGGATAGAATCAGACGTCAGGAGTGGGGACAGTTGTTGAAGAACGCCCTTGAGATCAATGCCCTTCAATGCTTCGATCAAGGGAGATACCTCGCCAACAAGTGACTGTGTCTGGTTAACAAAGGTTGGCGTAAGCAGTGCGGCCCCATTGTTGAGTAGTGTGTCGATGTTTTGAATGTTCTTTTGGCTCAAAAGACTTATGACCGATTTGACCAAGCCGCCAAGATCGATATTTCCAAGTTGGCCAACTAGATTCTGAAGGTCAAGCTTGTTGAGCAACTGCACAAGAGGGATCGTGTCGTTGAGGAGTTGGTGGATCTGACGAGGAACTGGAGGACTCAGGGTCTCTGCTAGTTCGATCATGGCATCATGAAGGGCTTTGATGAATTCTGGAGTGAGCAATGTCTGGGCTGCTCTTAATAATGTAGTCAACTCCTTAACTGCTGGGACGATATCGAGTAAACCGGTGATGTCCCCGGGCAGTCCTGTCCCTCCCGTCCCTCCCGTTCCTCCCGTTCCTCCTAATAGTCCTCCCAACAACCCGGCAGCTTGTGATCCGCTGGAGCTCGTGGTGGAACCTGAGTTCGTCGTATTTTGTCGGGGAAACAAGGCAGCTCGTTGTTGCAAGGCGTGATTCTTCTTGAGCAATCCATTGAGTTCTGTGAGAGCTTCTGTGAGATCTGATCGGGGAACCAGTGCGAGGTTGTGCTTTGCCAGAATTTCATCGAGGTTCAATTCTTGGGTCGACAATTTTCCATCAACGCCTTCAGCCACGAGTCCGACTGGCACAAGAGCCGCCACAAAGAGCGAGGAGAACCGCATCGTGATGGCGCTCTTTCGCCGTGAGGGGGAACCGGTTGAAGGCTCAAACTTGAACTATGGCTCCAGCCAAGTTGATGCGTTCCGCGCCAAAGGGACGATGAGAAAACCAACAGGAACACCGGTGTCTGGGGAAGAGGCAGCAATATGGCTCCTCTGATAGTCCTTGGGCGCGGGCGTCCCCACACACGGGGAACAGACACACAACTACCAGGCCCCAGTTTACCGTGCCGGAAGCCTTGAAAGCCGCCGTCGATCTTAACGGGCCAGTTTATGAATCCTGCTTTGGTAAACTTTTGCAGGACTCAGACCTTCCCCAACTTCCCCAGTCTCCCCAACCTGAAGCTCCCACCACCGCGCACGGCCGAGGTCCTAGCCTAGCGGAAGCATGTACTCGCGGCTATTTCTGCTTTGGGTTTGGGAACTTTGTAGAACCAAACTAATCAAGTGGGGATGAGGACTGGATACAACGTCGGGCTCTGCGGCCCATGCAGAACTGTGTATCGTTTCCTAGTTCAGCCACAAAATCTCCACAACGTGGAAGCCGGTCTTGGGGCCCTGAAAAAACACAGATACAGTCCATATCCCGCTCAAGGTTTAATATGAGGGGTAGCTCGGCTGAGGTGGCTATTCTACGAGACATGTCCCTGTTACGTGTGTGAGAGAGGAAAGAGTCCTGTGCCCGGATGAACCCGTTGGAAGCGTTTGCGGGTCCAATAATTACCAACTGTCATGTCATTACTCTCCCCAGCCGTGAATTTGACTTGACTCTCTGTCTCTGTCTGGCACCGTCTGTTAGGAGGCCGCCCCCAGTCGCGCTGCTGGTGGTAGTCTGGGGTTTTTCAGCTTTCGCCTTCCCTATCCTTTCTTCCTCAGATCGGCTTCGTAACCTCTTGTATTGACTACATGTCGACGAAATGGCGGCATTCGGTTCACGACAAGATGTAGCCCATCGCGAGCCTGGGATGCCGCCGGCTACAGCGAGAGGCGCCAGAGGAGATGGCGAGGACGTCGTTGATGGGCGAAGCGACATTGCATCCTCGACGGATCACATCGGAGAGAAGGCTGCCGGCCCTCGTTTGACAAAACGCCAAAAAGTCCGACGGCACTGTGGTAGATTCTGGCTGTGGTATCTCATAGCCTCTATTATATTCCTCGCCATTCTACTCCCGATTCTGTATGCGCAATCAGAACCCGCCCCCCCCCTTCCACCATCTTGAACCGAAACTTACAACAGTGTCATAGCTTTAAATTCATCATTCCTGCCATCATACAGGCTATCGTCGGGGGACAAGGCCTACCCATCACGGATGGCCGATTGGACTGTGTGTCGGGAACACAAATGAAACTGGCCATCAACACCTCCATCAACACACCTCTGCCCGCAAGAATGACTGAATTGCCCCTTTGGTTATACAACAAAGACACCAAGCCGTTTTCTCCTTGGGCCAGGTTAAACATTACCGGACAACGGCTCAAGGGCGATACTAAAATCGTTGTCAAAGACCAACTTGTCACCATCAGCAACCAAAGCGAGTTCGTCAACTGGGTGAGCCACATCTTCGACGAGGAAAATGTGGACCTTTCCTTTCGTGGTAATACTGCAGTCTTCCTCGGTAAGATCGAGGCCAACACCCACCTTGACAAGTCTGTCCAGTTGCCCGGTTTGAGGAAGTTGTCAGGCTTGAGCATCGAGGACTTGAAGGTCATGCTGCCCCCTGACCGCAATGGCAACAACATCAAAGGCACCGTCAAAATTCCCAACTACGGTTTGCTGGTCATGAATTTTGGCAACATGACCTTCAACATATTATCGGGCGATCTCAAGATCGGTCAAATCACATTATACAATGTGCTTTTGAACAAGGGAAATACCACCGTGGGTTTTGACGGGCAGGTTTATCTTGATACCGTGATAAAGAACATTGGACCCGTGCTCGCCAGCCAGAGCAATGCTCTCAACAGGGGCCAGGTCGATCTCAATGTCACGGGAAATCAGGTCGTCATGAACGGCGAACACATTACCTATATCGAGCAACTTCTCGGCTCCCGTCGCCTGACAACGTCAATATCCGTCGTGAAACTTCTAAGCGACGTCTTGAGTGGCTTTATGGGCGGAGGAGGCGGCAGCTCCATCGTTGATGCCGTTGGCGACATCTTTGGCAACAACACTTTTATTCAGAACGTTGTTGACCACTGGAACACGACGAAAGCTGGCGGGAGCTCAACAAAGAATGGCAAGAATGGCTCGATATTGGCAAAGCGAAACGAAGCCAAGGAGGCGTTGATGTGGAACATGCTCAAGATGGGATTGAGAATGAAGCTAAACCAGCGGTAGGGAGCATTTACGCGGCGGAAAAGGTAACGGCCGACTCGGGGATTTGAATTTGAGATGAGCATGACTAGTTCTCACGGTAATGAAGATGCAACGATTGTACACAGATTTTCAGCCATGCAATGACTACACGTATTTTCCAGCCATGTTTGTGTCCACACGGGGCCGGGTAGTGTTGACAAGAAACTAGTCATGTCTCATGTTGTTTTAGTCCCGATCCCCGGGCCCGCCACGTTTTGGACTTGGTTCCCAGACGATACAGACAGCTCCGGAGGCTGTTGTGCAGAGCCAGCAAATAATTGGTGCTGGCACGGACAACAGAACCCAAGGAACAAGAGCGAAGCACAACTACCTAACGTAGCCTTTGCATCGAGTGTGTGATGCGACCATGACGCCGGTGCTGGGATGCCACGCCCAGGCCGAGAAGTGGTGTGATGGCAACGAGTGCCCTGAATCAGTGGACTAGGATCAGCGGCTGGTTATTACTAGCGCACGGCCGTGCGTCAAGCCTTTGATATGGATGGGGGTCTCCTAGGTTGCGATGGGATAAGCGCTTTGATCTTGATCGGGTGGGCCGGTGACAGGTCCGACATGTTCAAATTGCTAATCGTGCCCGCCCCACTTTATGTGGTTCGGCTAGCAAAAGCCCTCACCACCAAAGGTGGTGCTCGACAGCAAGGCGGGCCGGACACCAAGGCGGGCCAATTTTCAACCTAATAACGCTATTAACCTCTTCGCCTATAATGTACACCCTTCTCGTCCCAAATTTCTAGTAGATCTAGTACAGAATCCAGACGCCATTTACGTGCCTTTTTAGCTGCTTCAAAAAACGTCCTCTTGGCGTGGTTGTGGCGCCTTTTGTCGGCATGCTCTTTATGCTTGCTGTTCGCCTGATGAACTCGAGAAAGGTCTTTGCAAAGGCGTGATTGGAAGGAGAAACGGCGAATGGTTGACGCGACAGGTATGCATTTGTTGGCGGTGACGGGAGGGGAGCCATATGAAGAGGTGCATTATCTGTTGACTGTTTTTCTAGACCGGGAAATAAAAATAGGACATGTATAGAAAACCAGATATTACAGCCCTTTTTAAAAAAAAAATCAAAAAAATCAAAGGTCGTCACTCATTCATTGGAAGCTTCAACGAAAAAAAAAACCCCGGATGTAATTACGCAGCTCATTAAAGATCCACCTGATCAATCGCCGGCCACCATTGAGACCAGGCCCCCTGCTCGTCGAGGTTATTGCTGACTTCCGCGAAAAGCTGGTTCAACAAGGTATTAGTGTCGAGCTCGTGCTCGTGCTCGTGCTCGTGCTCGTGCCCTTGAACCGGCCAAGTCGCCTGCGCCGAGGGCCGCTCCGCGCCCCGAATCTCCCGAGTATGCGCGTCGGATCTATCCACGACACGGAACTCGTGGACAGACTGGTGTAGAGTATCAAAGTCTGCTCGTGTGCGCCCCTGGTATCGTGTCCGGTCCTCGGTTGCTCGCTCGTAGAGCACGGATGCATGGTGTATCGTTTTGATCTTGCGCGTGCCGCCCTCTCAATGTTAGCGCAACGGTGGCCACGGTCGTGTCATGCTTGCGGGCGGCTTACCCATCCGTCGGCGATTTTCCAGACAAGTCGAAACTTTTCCAGGTAGTCGAGACACATTTTGAGACAGTCGCTTGCTCGCGGGCTGCGGCCCAGGTTCATTCGGGGGTATTTCGCCACGTAGAGGTTGAGGTAGCCGGCTGAGAATGCGCAGAACCCGGCAAAGGGCGTCATGAGATGCACGCCACACTCGGAGGCCTCGTGTAGAATGGCGGCGATGTGCTCTGCCGCGCCGAAGAGGAGTCGGGAGCTGTCGTCCCACCAGCCCTCGGGGGCGGGCGCCCCCAGCATGGGCTGGTCGACTGGACCCCGTGGCTCCGACTCCGGGGTCGGCAGGAAGGGGAAGTACTCGCGGTGAAGCATGAGGGTGCTGACAAGGCGTAAGCAGGGGCGGCGGCGGCAAGTTGGGAGCCCCGTCGACCGCTACCGCTGTGGGAAGGGGATTCTTACCTCACGTAGTACAGGAGATTGAGGTAGACGCGTCGCCGGTGGCGGGCTTGTGTCAGTCAGAGGGCGCTGGATCCGATTCGCTTGATGCTCCGGAGCACCACGGAAAAATCTGTCGTGAATTTGCGCTCTTGGTGAAGCTCCTTCACGATTCCTGCTCGCCCACATTCCGACCTCTCCGTGTCCGCATCTAGACGTCGTTGATTGCTTGTCGAGGAGGGTCGACTGTGAGAATAGCTAGATTTCATGGAAATATATGTACTTGAATATGTATGTGCTTTACAACTAACCCAGTTGCTTTGTCTTGGCGAGCCAGCAAGTGCCAGGGACTAGTAGTGTAGCGCTCTCTTCAAGCAGCAACTGTGCATCCAATATGACTAGATGGTCTAGTTTTATTTTGGCGACTATGGTACTCATTGACGAGTTGAAAATGACCACCAAAACCACGTACCGTCTGTAATACAAGTCAAAGCCGGGTTTGTGCCGCGTTGCAGAGCTTAGCTGCCATTATTTTACGAATAGAAGAGCTCTTTTTTATTAATTTAAAAAAGGTTCTACAAGCTAGAAAAATTCGCACGAGTTTTGATATACAGCATTCATATCAACAGTCCACGCACGGGCAATGTTAATGTAGGGAACACAAACCCTCGCGTCAACCTTTGTCTTGCAGCAACTCAGACAGCCAGAAACCGTCATGTTGCATTGTATGTCAAGTTTGCGAGATGGACGAGTTTGGCAGGCCCGGGTAGCCAGAGTCAAATGATCAACGTCCACGGATTTCCAATGGAACGTTGTCTAGGCGCAATCCTTGAAGGATTTCCACGTCGCCAGCAAGGACACTAGCCGAATGTCAGCCAATAACAAGTATTCTAGAGCTGAACTTCTCACTCAAGGTTGTACAAATGCAGGAACCAGCAGCATAGACTATGGATCTCAGCAGTTGAGCAACACTTTTCAGCCACGTCTCACAGACGCCAATGGATTTTGTGCGCCTAGAGCGAATGCACCTGTCAATCCCGACGAAGCTGCTGCAAGTTCCTCTTTGGCGAAACTGTAGGGTTCTTGTCCAAAAAGACAAGATTCCTTCATGTCTTGGTCAGCCGGAGTCTCCAGAGGCACAGAAGACTGGCAAAGCTCGTTGCACCATAATGAAAAGGATCTTAGTCCCGATCCTTTGTTGCGTGCCTTGAGGAACCGTCTGACAAGAGGAATTGTGAGAGTGAACCGAGACATATAGTGGTTCTAGTGCTATTCCTTTTCACCAAAGTATTGTAGAAGAAGGCTTGCAACAGGAATATAAAAGTCGTAGAAACTGTCATCTTCTGGAGTTGTAGTCCCTGCCCAGAGAAGAGAACAAGCAGCTTGATCCCTTATTATCGACATCTTGAGCTCCTTATCAATATAACAGTACATCCCATCATCTCACTTCACTGCATCATCACGATGTTTTCCCACATTCCTGTCTTCGCAGTGGCCCTGGCCGCCCTGTCTGCCGCCCTTCCCACACAAACGCTGGACAGACGTGCTGTCGCGGATCGTTATGTGTTCTACCAGGGCAGCGGTGCCAACTGGCCATCTCAGGGCGCCTGGGGAAGCTTCGACTCGCTTTGGAACACCAACCTGCCGCTGATGCAAAAGTCATGTGGATGGAATGGATGGGGCGCTGACAACTCTGGTGCTGAAATCAACAGCATCAAGAATGCCATCAACCAGGTGTCTCAGGCCACCGGCGTCGACAGGAGCTTTATTCTCTCCATCATCATGCAAGAAAGCAAGGGTTGCGTGCGCGTTCCCACCACCAACAACGGCGTTCGTAACCCAGGCCTCATGCAGTCTCACAACGGCTCTGGCAGCTGCGCTGGCGTGACGCCATGCTCTGGCAGTGCCATTGCGCAAATGGTTCGGGATGGTGTTGCCGGAACATCTTTTGGGGACGGCTTGAGGCAGAGTTTGGCCAAGGCCAAGCGTGCCATTGGAAACAACAGCCGCGCATATTACGCCGCCGCTCGAATGTACAACTCTGGCTCCGTCGACTACAACAACCTCGACAACGGTCTTGGAAGCACCCCGTGCTACGCAACCGATGTTGCTAACCGCCTGACGGGCTGGACGCTGGCTGCCAGCCAATGCCGCGCATAAATGGGTGCCGAGGCGGACGACTCGCAGAACAAATGATCAATTCTGTCATATGCTTGGGCCTGGCGCGACGTCTTTGCTCAAGATTCATGGGCATATTTCTCTTCAAGATGTTTGTATTCATTGCAGTCTGTGTATACTCGCTCTGTCAAGTTGTTTCCGTCAAATATATAGCAGTGGAAGCCTATAAAGTGCCTGATTTTGTCAAAGCGAAGAAAGATGCGACTGTCGTAGGTACTTGTCCTACTACGCTAATGCTGGGAAAATGAGCGTTTGCTTCTGTTTCTCTCAAGTAATAGTGCTTAGAGACTGTCTTTGGCTCCCGTGCATTTTACAAATGTCAAAGTGTATGGCCATTGCGTATGACGTCCAAGGCAGGGTATAATATGCCTTGGAAGCCAATCGTACTCGATGCATTTGGCGTAGCTTTCGTCTAGTTGCAGATACTGGCAAGATTTGAGGTCCCATGTGGCAAGCAAGTATTCGGTCTTTGGCATTGCTCCCTTTGGACAAAGCGGATTGAACGTAGTTATATGCTGATGTAATGTGATGGCCATGTACTCTCAAGGGTTAGGGTTGCGTCACAGGCGGTTGGTTTCTCCACCAAAGCCGGCGTGGTGTGATCATGGATGGATGGCGTGATCGTAGACCAGCCACTCATGTTACCAAGCGACACGCCGCGTGGCCGACATTGACGTTAATCTCGTCAACAGAGAGCCACGGAGTACTATTGCCATCAATTGTGCTGCGGTAGCTTGAATTGCGACCCGGCCCTTCTCCATACCTCTCTCCATCGGTCGGCCAAGCCCTGCATCAATCTCTGCTTCCATCTCCGACAACTCTCTCGGAGAGTCTGTCTTGTCGCTTCGTCGACAGCACATTGTCAGTCAACATGTGGTGCCAGAGGACAAAGCCGGCGCCGAGTGCGGCTCTCGCCAAAATGCGCAGGCCGCAACGCAACCGCCGGTGCTTTGCCAGCGTCTCGCCCGTGACACCATCATCAAGAAGCCACAAGGTCGTCGTCGTCGGCGCGGGGACCGCCGGCATAGCCGTGAGCCATCAGCTGCTTCGATCCGGCAAGTTTAGCCCTCGAGACATTGCCATTATCGACCCGGCTGTGTGGCACGATTACCAGCCCGGCTGGACGCTCGTCGGAGGCGGGCTGAAGGACAAGCAAGAGCTGCGCCGGAAACTCGAGGATCTGATTGACCCCCAACTCAAGTTCTACAACTCGCGCGTCGCATCAATTGCCCCTGCTGGCAACTCGGTGACGCTTGGCAATGGCGACAAGCTGAGCTATGAGCAGCTGGTGGTTGCGCCTGGTCTCAGCATCAACTACGGAAACATTGAGGGACTCCGCGATGCTCTCCACGACCCAGAATCTCACGTATCAACCGTTTACAACTACGACACATGCGACAAGGTTTTCCGGTCCGTGGAGCGACTTGCCAAGGGAAACGCCATCTTCACCCAACCCGCCGGGGTAATCAAGTGTGCCGGTGCGCCGCAGAAAGTCATGTGGCTGGCCTTGGATTATTGGAAGCGTGCCGGCCTCTATTCCTACTTGCAAAGCACACGATCCAGTTCCCCCATCAGCATCACCTTTGCCACTGGCCTGCCCACAATGTTTGCCGTGCCCAAGTACGCTGCCAAGTTGGAGGAATTACGAAAGGAGAGAGGAGTGGAGGGCCTGTTCCAACATGATTTAGTCGCCATCAAGGGCAATGTGGCAACGTTTGCGCGTCCCAACGGACAAGCAGCCGTCACCAGGGAGTTTGACTTTCTCCACGTGGTCCCAAAGATGGCTGCTCCCGCATTCATCAAAGACAGCGGCATCGGAAATGACGCTGGCTATGTCGACGTCGACGACTACAGCTTGCGCCACAAGAAATATCCCAACGTTTGGTCCGCTGGTGATGCTTCGAGTTTGCCAACTTCCAAGACTGCTGCAGCTATCACGTCGGAGGCTCCTGTGCTGGTCCGAAACCTACTACAAGCTTTGCAAGGTCAAGAACCAGACGCCGCCTATGATGGCTACACGTCCTGCCCCCTCTTGACAGAGTACGGCAAGGTGCTTCTTGTAGAGTTCAAGTACGGCGGGGAACCGAAGGAGACATTTGACAACTGGTTAGGGATTGATCAGGTCGAGCCTCGACGAATCTTTTATTACCTGAAGAAGGACTTTTTCCCCTGGGTTTATTACACCTCCATGGTACGGGGAACATGGGGCGGCCCAAGGGGATGGATCAATTAGAGCCACACACAGTTGAGGGCTGAGGCCCTAGGGGGATAGAGACGGTAGCACGGAGGGAGAGGGATTCTTGACGCACACGATGGATTTGCCATGGAGGGTTATTATTGCGGCCAAAGATGGACTAGGCGCTTACAAAGTGTGGTGTCACTGCAGCTCACGCAGCACAGGCTTATCAACATTGGGCCGTCTTTGGGGGCTCAAGGGACGCTAAATCACAACAACAAGAAGGAATGAAAGGAGACGGACGAAGACGTGGGCAAACGGCACGGCAATAACGAGGGTACTGGGGCCCGGAAGTGTGCGTGGCCAACGGTCAACGCAGTCCCCATTCAACGGGGTGCGGTGAACGATGCTTGAGAATGCATTGCGGGATAGCCGCGTGCCTGTACACTTTGGCAGCTAATCGCAGCAGCTAGAATATATCGGCGCCTACTTTCAAAGTACTCTCCTTCGTAGGCACATTCCTTGTAATACTGACCTTTCCGGCATCCGGCTGAAGCGCCCATTCCCCACTTGTATCGAAAACAACAGGATGACTTTAGAAGCTAAAGCTATCAAGGGCCACTGGGCACTGGGGACAAGACCCTTGAGGACTATTCGTATAGAAAACGTTCACAGCTGTTACATCTAGTAGCTTTAATCTTCGTTGCCTGTCAATGCGAACAGCCTGTCAACTTCATCAAACAGTCTGCCCGGGTGACAATTGAGAAGGCAATGTATGTAGTTATTGAGACTCTATCAAACCATTACGCTGAATCGAACATGACATGACCTGCAAAATTGCTCAACGCAAGGCAGATGACGAACTGAACTTCAGATTCTCTCACCTGGGGCGTTTCCTTCTCGCCGAGTCACGAAAGCGATACGACTCTCTCAGATATTCCGCCAACGCGACGCCCGCGTCCGCGTCCGCGTCCTCGTCCTAAAGAACATACCTGAAATTAGGTCCGTAATTCTCAACACCTTGTTCGTTGGCATCGTTGGCGACGACATTATCCCCGTGCTTTTCAGCCAGCCGCTTGTTCTCGCAAAGCAAAAGTATCCTGAGAATACAGGCAAGCAAAGCAACAAAGAACATGAATGCGGCGCATATACCGTGACCCCGGACGTAGTGTGGTCGCTCATCCTGAGGATATACTCTGGTGCCTAGGAGAGGCCCGCACTGTCCGACGAGGTTGATGATGACCACACCAGCTCCCCTTCGCTCGTCGCTGCCTTGATTATTGACGACCCACGGGAGAATGTTGGCTATAGTTGGGAATACGCCTGCTGCAGCGAGGTAGGCACCGGCATATCGAACCGCAGTTGTAGATGCCGCCGCGAGCATGACGTAGCCTGCGCCGCCAAGTGCCGCCATGGCCATGACCATGAGCCCTCGTTGCTGAGTACGATCCGCGAGATAAGTCGTCGCGATTGTCACGAGAAAAGAGGCGAAATAGGGCGGCGCAGAGAGGCCCTGCGCGGTCAAGCCAGAGAAACCTGAAGCTTGGGGTCAGCAGACCGTCACGAAATGGTGCTCTGGGGGTTGGAAGGACTTGATACCCATGTCTTTTAAAATGGTGGGTAGGAAAACCGGAAGCGATGAGTAGGAAACATTGCACGAGAAATACATGAGAGCCGTCAGCCATGCTTTGACGTCGAGCAAAATGGAGAGCGTTTCCCGCCACTTCAAGGAGCCGACTCGTGTCCCTTTTCCCACTTGCTTGACTTGACGCGCCAAGGCAACGTCCCTTTCGTGCTCGTCCAAGAACCACGCTTGATGAGCGCTGTTTGGCATGGCAAAATACGCCACAGCCGCCATGACCAAGACGGGTGCGCCTTCAACAAGAAACAAAAGGCGCCAATTGGCAATCTTGGAATGGCCCGACGTGATGCCATAAGCCAGGGCGCCCGCAAAACACGTCGCCAACGGGGCGCTGGCGAAGAAGATGCCTATGCGAAGGCCAAGTTCGTTGCGCAGGTAAAAGAATGACAGCAGATAGATGGCACCGGGGCCATATCCAGCTTCGAACGCGGCCATGAAGAAGCGACATGCCATCATCCCACCCCAAGATTGAGTGGCAGATTGGGCCGTGGCTGCAATGCCCCAGCCGAGAACGAGAATTGCAATCCAGATGCGGGCCGGCAAAACCTTGAAGGCGATGATGAGCGGCTCAAAGAGGATGTAGGCGATGTAGAAGATGGTGAGAAGCCATTCATACTGGTCGCCGCTCAAGTCCAGGTCTGTTTCCAGGCCGGCAATGCGAGCGTTGCTACTAGCCGTGTCAGCTAATCGCCCACGGACGCCGAGTATGGAGCATATCACCATGTCAAGGCTCGGCCTACCCGATATTTGATCGATCCAAGAAGGCTAGCAAGACTATGGTGTATCAGAACCTGGTTTCCAATTGTCGGCACCAAGGCCCGTCGGCATTCCACCTACACAATATCCATAGGAGGAGTAGCACGTGTGTATCGAGTTTTCGTCTGACTCTGGCCTCGACGGCGGCGAGGGGAGGCGACCGAGGAACCTCTTGATCACCCAAAGGCTCCTTGGCCGTCTCCGAATCTGGCTTTGCCTCGAGCATGTTTGCGAGTGTTTGATGAGGCATGAATCTGTTGCCTGCCTGGGCGGTAAGCACTAGATTTTACTGTCTGCCCAAGCTTTCCCATGGAATTTCCCAAAGAGATTGTTCCCGGTTTTGGAAAAAAGTAAAGTGCGGCGTATTTCAGGAGCCGTGTTACCCGTGCTAGTGAATTAGTAGTTGGTAGCGTCAATCTTGAGCCCAACAGCTTCCGATCGCAGTTAATTAGTCCCACGGGTGCAAAAACGAATGAGATGGACAGCAGAGAGAGCTGGACTGGACTGAGTAACTAAGCACCGGTTATCGCCAGGGTTCCCGGGAACAGCACGCGGTGCTGCAATAACGACGTGCGCACATTTGCGATACCTAGTCGCAAGCAAACATACAAGCTTGGCCCTAACCCTAGTCGGCTGTCGATCTTGCCGTGGTTTGTAGGTCATGTCTGGCTTCTGGCGCCGAGGACTCGGGAATTTGTACGTGAGACCTCGCAAAACATGGAGGAAACATGCTGCCGAGTTGTCTAGTTCCTGGGCGCGTTTGGATTGACACTGCTTGTTCCTGGTCACCGTGATTAAGCAAGCCATGAATTCATGGGCGTTGAACAACAGCCAACATTGCCAGCCACATGACGCTAATAAATGACTCGTTACTCGGTAAAATTGGGTTTGCGGAGATGGAAGAGCCTACAAGCATTTAATGCACTTGCCAACGTGTGTGTGAAGTGTGAACTGGCACAGAACCTGATTTATCACGACCTGCCTGCTAGATTCCTAAATAGCTTTCTTGACGTTACTTTGGGGGCATTGAATCTGACTGCATTCCATGTTTTTAGCCGCCAACCTATGATGCGCTCGGTTGAATACAAGATTTGTAGCGGCGAGCACCTCCGGGAAGCAAGCGGGCGGCGGCGCTTTACGGCGACGGTGAAGAATGCCAGGTGTTCTGTCGCTTTGAGGTTGTGATGCGTTTCGGAAGCAGGAGAAAAAGGTAAGGAAGCCGTGCAAAATACCGCCGAGGTCTTTGGAGATTTGAGGAGTCCATCCGCGACTAACAAGTCTCGTCTCTAGTGCGATAAAGTCCGACCGGCTTGCTCCAGGTGCTCTCGGCTAAAGAACCATGTATAGGGGGAAGGACCGGCGGTTTTGGTTCAAGGATGAATCAACAGCAGTTGCCCTAGCCAACCGCCGACATCAAGCCAGAAGACGTGCCGATGAACTCATATCTACGCTCTCGACCTCTCTAGAGTGTCTAATAACAAAAAAACTAAATCGTCGAGGAAAGAGACGGGGCACCCAAGCCATGGTCGAGGGATGCAACATTGATGAGGCATCTCGTTTCTTGGGAGCCAGTTGATGAATTCTTAGTCAATACTACTGAAAAACGGTGAGTGAATAATTGTCTTCTGCAACCGTCTCAAGAGTCCATGTCGACTACTTTGCAGTTTCCACGTTTGCAAGCCCTGCTCTTGATGACGACCGTCCTACCTTTTGTGCGGACGCAGGCATTCTCGGCTAAGAAGGTCAGTCACATCGACCACTTGCGGCGGTTTATATTCCAGTGTCTACCTCTGCGGCATGGCTTGCGTGTGCTGACGATGCTAAACGCGGAGAGTTGCGAGATTGCTGGAAGACTGCGAAGTGAATTTTCGTACGCCGCATGATGTGACCATAGTCTTATCAGTGCAAATGTGACTAAATGTCGGGAATTCTACGTGGTCTCAAGAATCCCAAACACCGTGCTTGACGCAGTGCGATGAACAACGGGTCCAGAGATCGCTTGAAATGGTGACATCAGAGTGCTCAAGACCGGACAGGACGGCTTTGATCACGATGCGGGCTGAGCTGAGCACCCAGAGAGGGGGATGAACGAACCCGGGCCAGACCGGGTAGATGTGGAAGCTCTCAATTGACAAATGGCCTCGACGGACGCAAGCGAGCGAGTCAATGTGCGAACTGGGCAGTGTCATTCGATGGATGGCATCACGCAGTCCACCGCTTGAGCCACGTCCAGGCCTCTGGCTGATGTCACGCACAGTCTGCAAGTTTAACCATGCCGACTTGAATCTTGCGTGCCGTTCGCAGCAGAACCATGACCGCGTTAACAGTTGCCATCCCAGTCCGCACTATGCGGCAAAGAAACCGGTTCGAAGCGAGATGGTGTGATGCCGCGGTGGCACAAAACGTGTCATTGGATGTTCTGAAGCCATGACGTTGCTGCTGCAAGGTGACTGACTCTTGTGGCGGCATCCTTTGGCTGAGCACATGATGCTTCCGAGGACAAGATATAAACCGGTGAAGCTCTGCCCCCGGGTGGCAAATCGCACACTCGTATAGCTTTTCCCCCTCTGCAGAAGAGAATAAAGGTCTGATTTGTAGCATAAAACTGCACATTTCATCCTATCCATCGTCGACTCACAATGACCAACCCAAGACATCCAGACTACGAGACCGGGATCACGGATGAGGCGGCAATCGAAGGCCACGACCTGATTGCGCGAGCTGAGGAGGAGGAAGAGAGAGTATGCAACGGATGCTAATCATGGAACGACGCGTCGGGTGCTTCGACTGACGCTGCAAAACTAGATGCATCCCGATAAGCCTGAGCCGGCGATGCCCGCAGTGGGCCATCCAGCTGAGGGCCAAGCCAAACACGGGAAGAAGGAATCAACAATGGAAAAGGTCAAGCACGCGTTGCACTTGGACAAGTAGAGCAACAAATGCTGCCAAGCGACTTGGCTGGCTTCCAGCAGGTCGGAAGTTCGGCCGAGTCGGAACTTGTGCATTTCATATTTCGGACTTTGAAAAGCTGGAATTTCATCTGTATCTCGTCACGGGCCTCAAGATTGTTCGCCAATTGCCCTCGGCAGAATCACTTTGGGCTGTAACTGGTAGTTATCGTGGCAGAAATAGGGCAGTAATAACACTTACGCCGAAGAAGTGGCGAACATGTTAAAAGCTCGGTACACGGTAAATTGGACCATTTCACATGAGATTGAGCGTCTTTTTTTGAGATTTTCCCACCGCAACTATCTCCGCCGTGTTATAACTCGCCACGTCGACCCAGTAAGTTCTCAACCTGGAGCGAAGAGTGGCAAGTTGCCGCAACAGAAACGTCTCACCGTCAGTCAAGGTTGGGGTTTCAAATGGAGGAAAATAAAATTTGAATAGCCGTGGCGATCTGTTCGAGACTCATAAGCCCATGTGAGCACACTGTCCAGATCAAAGCTTGCTCAGGGACCTCGGAGCAATCAGTGAAGCCTCGGCAGGGAGACGCGGCTTGATCAATGATGATTCTGAAGCCCTGCAGCTGGGCTTTTTTTTAATTCTCCCAAGGGCTCCTTCTCCTACTCAACGCCAGTCATCTCCCCTCGCTTTGTGCTGTGCAATTGTGCTGACCTTCAAGTGCCCTTGATCTAGTCAAGTCTCCGAGCCGTGCTCCAACTTGGACAAATCCCAATTACTTGATGCGATGCCATGCCAGATCAGGGGCCTTGTGATTACCAATTCAGCAGGTTGCTGGTGTCGAGCCTAGTTAATGAATTATGACTTGGTTGGATCAACCTTGGCTCCCAAATGCATGCATGCATCTGCTGTATCGCCTTGCATCCGACATCATCCACACATGCACACGGCGCTTATTCGCCTATTCCAGCGGGCATTCCTTGTCAACAGCTGAGATTCATTTCGTCGCTTGATGCTCACCAATCTTGTGGCTGCAATGAAACAGAATAATCAGTGCCTGGTCCTTGTCGAGCGGCCAACGGGTACTGTCATCCCCGGCAGACATTCAATCAAGGGACTACTATTGCCATCCCCGCACCTGCTGATGTGCAGGATGGGCAAATCTTGGCCGAGACGCTTTATCGGTCCTTCAATCCGCCCATGCGTGGTTGGTTACGTGGTGAGAAGGCATCTCAAAAGAACAAGAGACGGCCTCGTCGTCGCTGAGTGCTGACGAGCGTCGCCGTCCGCAGGACACTCGTTCCTACCTCCCGGCTGTGAGGCTCGGCGCCGTCATGCGAGGCGTCACGTCAGCTCGCGTGCCTGATTCCAAGAGTCAACGGGCCGCGACGGGGATGTTGTGAGGGCCACGTCTGGATGGACAGAACATGCCGTCCTTGGAGAGAGCATGTTCCCCGGCCGGAACCCGAATACACCCCAGGATATGATTTCTGTTCCGGGACTCTCGGGAGCGGCTGGTTCCAACGCCAAGCGTAGCTGGAGTTGATGTTGCGTGGGACTACGGAGCCTCGTACTTCAGACAGAGGTCCGAGGCTGCGACCAAAAACTGAAACTACGCTGGCGTCTGTTTCGAGAATAGTGGTGTTCCTACACCTCGCCCATCTCTTCGCGTCTCCAACCTGATCACTGACGAGTGTTCAAACAGTTGGCGGCGGCATTCTAGACATGTGCTTGGCGCGAGCCACGGAACACTCACGATTTGTCATGAGCGGAGGCATCGGCCAGGACAACTCCGTTGGTCCAAAGAATATATCCAAAGCCATTATTACTATAAGAATCAAGATGCAGGGCTTTACAGTTTCGACGACACCCGCACTGCAGTTGCAATGTCCTGTAAGGGTTACTGTAACGGGGGCGCAGCAGAGAGCTTCAAACTTGGGCTCAGAAGCCCTTGGGCCCAAGATTCCTATATAAATACGTGGAAGCTGAAGGTCTATTGCCTGAGGCAGCTGCCGCAGCCCTTTGTTAGGCTCGGGGCCCTGGACATCAAGTTGGCACGATGCCTTTGTCTGGATCAGCTGGGGCCGACTCCTTTGTGGCCTGCCCGTGTAACAGTCAGGGTTGACACAAAGAAATAACCAACTGATTAGCGAATCGTCCTTGATGGCAAGGTTATTTAGTCGAGAGTGGGCAAAGAGAGCAGCCAACGCTGAGCCAAGCCTCGGCGGCCTTTGCTCGAGCAGCCGGGATCCTCTCGAGGCGGTCCCTACCGGTTTTTCTGTGAGGACGTGGGATCTGTCGGGGACCGTGACGGCGTGGTGTATTTTCTGCCACGTCAAACCGAAGCTTGCACACCCCCAGACCCAGACTCTGTTGACCTGGCGATGTTGCCGGTGACACGAGGCAAGGGGAAGAGAGGACATGGGCGGAACAGCGCAGGAATCGGATTCCCGGTATTTGGATCGTGCTGCGTGTCTATTCTTGTGTCCGAAGTTGTGGGCCGGCGGGTGTCCCAAGGCCGAGCGCGTCGATAGCTCTCGGCCAGAAAGTTTAAATCCCAGCCACACTCATTCGTCAGTATTCGGTACAGGCCCCGAGGGACTCAGGTCGATCAATCGATGAAATCGCCTGCGGAACGCCCGTTGGTGAGAAGCACAGCAAAGCCATCTCGCTTTCATTATCGACCTCCTTGTCCAGCAGCGACCCCGGTGTGAACACCACAAGGCTTCTCTCGAGATGGAAGCACAAGCAAACAGCTTTGACTTTTCAGACTTTGAAGAAATCGACACCTCGGAATGTCCGGACGCCGGACAGCCCTCGGCGCTGCCGAACAACCACGTACTGAGCCAGCTCTCCAAGCCTTCAATGTCTTTAACAGACGATGGCCACCCGCCATGGCAGGGTCATCGAGACAAACTCGTCGGTCTTGTGGACATGGGAAGGTACTTGACATTCCAAGCTATGCGCACAGACGATAACTCGCCGGGCTTCCTGCTAACCAGACCTTGGTGCCGTGCTTTGCGACTTCAGCAACGGGATTCGATTTTCCATAAGCGACCTCTCCAAGCCGTTGGCCCGGATCCTCAACCCAGTCATAGTATATCGTTCGTCGATCTCTCTCTACGATGCACAGTTCGACCCCGAGACCGGACACCAGATCCCCATACCCGAGACAACCATAGCTGCTGTATGCGAAGCCTTGGAACGCTTCATGGTCGTATGCAAAGACTTTGACGTCCCCGAGGAGCAAATCTACTTTGTGGCCACAGAAGCCACGCGCCTGGCCAAGAACTCAGCCCAGCTCGTGGAATCGATCAAAGCAACCACCGGCAAGAATGTTGAGCTGATAGAAAAAGAAATGGAAGGCCAAATTGGCGCCCTGGGCATCGCGAGCGGCTTCTTGACCATGGAAGGACTGGTCATGGACCTCGGCGGAGGCAGCACGCAAATCACCTGGATCATCAGTCGACAAGGTCACATCAGAACCAGCACACACGGAAGCTTCAGCTTCCCCTATGGCGCAGCAGCCCTGACCAAGAAGCTCCAAGACATCAAGAAAGACAAGGACGAGAAGGATGTCCAACGCGCCATGGACCAGCTCCGAAACGAAATGGTCGCTAACTTCACCGACGCCTACCACCGGCTTCAGGTACCGCAGGCCATGGTGGAAAGGGCGCAAAGAGAGGGAGGATTCCGGATTTACCTCTCGGGGGGTGGCTTCCGAGGCTGGGGCTACCTGCTTCTGTACCTCGACCAGTCGCACGGGAGCCATTATCCCATATCCATCATCAACGGATACACTGTGGGGAGGGAGCAGTTTGAAGACACCAAGTCGATAGAGAAGGCCGCCAAGGCCGCGCGTGACATATTTCGCATCTCGGACAGAAGACGCTCGCAAGTCCCCGCGGTCGCTTTCCTGGTCAATGTTCTTGCCGAGGCGATACCGTTGGGGATCAGGGAGGCTCACTTCTGCCAGGGTGGTGTCAGGGAGGGCTATCTGTTCAGAGAGCTTCCTGCGTCGATTCGAAGAGAGGCGCCGCTGGAGGTGATTACGAGGAATTTCGCCCCCGGGTCCAGGCTAGAGATTCAAGAGCTCATCAAGGGAGCCATCCCGGACACGTCCAAGGACGGCAGCAAGCGATTCCCCCCGGAGTTTGGGGGCCACGTCATGGAGGCCTTCACCAACGTCATGTACGTCCACATGTTCATGTCCAAGGAGACAGCCTCCACTGCGGCGCTCTATTCGACAAGCTCTGGCATCATAGCATCTACGCTGGGCGTATCTCACCAGGACCGTGCACGGCTTGCCTTGATGCTCCAAGCGAGGTATCGCGGGGAGCTCCCGCCGCGGGAGGTTGAATTTCGAGATGCCCTCCGGAGCATCATCAGCCCAGAGGATGTCTGGTGGGCCCAATACCTGGGCCGGGTCGGTTATGTCATTACTTGCCTGTATCCCTCGGGCAAAGTTGATCCCTCCAACTTGAAAGTCCTCTTCTCCTCCTCGTGGTCATGGACCCTAGGCAAAAATGGGAGGAAAGAGGGCCTTGTGCTAAAAATTTCTATCAAAAAGGTCAAGCATGATCCTGAGAAGCTGAAAAAAGTTGTGACAGATAACATGCACGTAATCGAAAAGGCAGGGAAGAAGAAGAGTTGGGTTGGTAAAGACAAGCCATGGGGGATGAAGGTTGAGGTCAGGGTGGCCGAGGAGCAGATATTCTAATGAAGAGGTCACGACGTGCATTTTTCTCTTGGTGCAGACATGTTGCAAGAAAGCTGTTGGAAGAGAACGCATTTGTGTATTCCTGGCTTGGTGTGCCGGAAAGCCCCTCAAACTATCCACATATTCACGAATAAAACATTCTTAACAACCGCTGCATCCATGTTGGGAATGCATGAAAAACAAGTTGCTGGCGGTATGTACCCCCTCTGCTCAAGAAACGCTGTCCATTTCTTCGTCGCATGGAGAAGTGGACGTCTTAAACACAAGCCCGGGGTGTCCAAAACACAGGGAGGGTGGCAAGGGCAACGAAGACACCCTCTAATATGATAAAGGGCACTTGCTCTCTAATCAGGGAGCCGTTGTGACCATCTTTCAACTCCGCGACACGATATGCACAACGACTTAAAATCAGAATGATAGCAATCGCGAGGCCCGAGAAGAAAGCTTTCAGTCTCCAGCCAAACTTGTTGGTCTGACCGAACTGGAAATATCGAATGAGAAAATCGGCAAAGAATCCAACAAATGTTACGACAATGACTTGCAGAGCCAGCCCAGCGAGAGAGATGTTGACACCCGTCTGTACAGCGGTTAGATTTCTTGCCATGTCATATTTGGCTTGGAAGCGTCTTTACTAGCCTGATTGGGACCATTTGTACTGGTAGAGATGGCACCGCCGGCAGCTTGAAGGATCAAGCACGCTACGTCAAATGGAATAAATATCCAGTAAAGCAGTTGAGATTTAAAACGGGACAAATCAGGCGCGAGATACACAATAGCCTTGGAAATCGTGACGTAGATGGAGGAAGAGTGTAACCAATTCACTCACTGATCTGAGTCATAAACCCCGGGTAGGAGAAAGGACTGTGCCAGAGCATGATACGGCCAGCATACCTAATGACTTCGCATAGGCATCCGAGCAGCATGCCAGTCATGAATCCCCAACTCCTCCAGCGAATACCAAGGCAGCTATTTATTGCCCCTGCTGCAATTTACAGCAAAAGGAATGTGGTATTGGCTGCGAGGAATGGTTGGTAGCCATAAATGCTCCATGAGACTGGACATGTACTAAGGGTGCAGTTTTCGTCACTGCCGAACGGTACAACGCCGGGAGGGAGTTGACTCGCCATGTAGCACGGATAATACTTGAAAATGAAAAATTGTTTTCTCGTGTCAGTCAGCAGAAGTAGTGAATACGAAATGCAGGAGTGGTTTTTTGTGTGTGCGTCGGGGGATGGTGAGTGTTTGTCAAGGTACTCTTATCAACAAACTATGTTAGAAATAGATCGATAGTCGGTTGTCCAGAATTTTCCGGGTTTCGGCAAGACCAGGACTCAAATACCATGACTGACGAGTGGTGAATCATCTTTCATTTGCGTACATTACATAAGGGCAACGACCACAATCCTCGAGAGAACAGCTCTGCCGAGGCTCCTAGATGGTGACGTGTCGAATTGGGGCTGTGGCTCGTAGTCAACTAGACATGTGTAGAGATCTACATGCCTATTATGCAGACCTTCTCCTTTGCGCTACAGTTATCATGGCGGCGGCGCCACGAAAAGATACTTGTAGCGGCTGAAACTGGAATGCCGGTAGCCTCACTGCCGTAAGTCGGGACGCGGCTACGTTGAGTGGCACCTATTGATCGACTTGACGAACGCGAGGCGTAGGGCAACGGCCTGGACCGTCATCAGCTCGGCAAGCGCGGTATAATCGATCCCATCCGTTGCCGAGGTACGCGACCTCTGTGGGAAGGTGGGCGCCTGTCCTGTCTGGAGCTTCCAGAAGACTTTGTCTGGAACATTTGATGCCCCTCATTGTTGCCCGACATGACTTACACGTCTTGGATTCGGGTTGCTACAGCTATTAACCGGAGAGTTTCAATCGACCATTGAGGCTGCATGCCGCTCCAACGCTCACACGACACGGCAATGGCTTCAAGAGTCCTTGGCAAGCTACTGCAGCTCCTAGCTCACTGCAATTCATGTCCAGGATACGATACAAAATGCGAACAGTAAGATTATTGTAGTTTTGATCTCAAAAAAAAACCCCCCAAGTCATAATAATAATCGCAATGTTGCGTCTGCCTCTGGCCGTCGTCGTTGAGAGGGCCTAGCTCGAGGTCCATTTTCCAACAAGACTTAAAATGGCAACTTCTGGGCGCCCCGGGGAAACGTGCACCGAGATGACAATAAGTGTTTGGGGTGCTATGGACTCTGGAGTAGGCCACGTACACCAGCGCAGTGTAACTGGTAGGCTGATGTCCCAAGCAAAGTCAACCTGCTCTGGAGTCTGGACCACTGCGACGAGTCTATAGCCGCAGCTGGTGCGCGCTGTTTTATGTGGCAAGTTGGAAGAACAAAGACGGAGAGACCAAAGTCAGAGTTGGCGCCTACCACAAATATGACTGGCTTGTCGTGATCCTGCGACCGATTCTGCCCGGTAGTTTAATAATAGGCAAAAATGTCTGCTAGCATGGGCTATTCCAGAGAAAGCTTTATCAATTGCGACCTCGGTTGGTCTGAACTTTGCGGTAGATCAACATGTGCCAATGCATCGGTTTGATACAACGTGTTTGCTGGGCTTTAGTCTAATGCATCGTGTAGAAGTTGCGTTCCCGGCTATCAAGTGAAGTCCAGCAAGTTACCATGATGGAACGAAAGGCTTGTTAAACTTCACATCTCCGTGGAGTCGGAGCATCATGGAACGCGAACCAACTTTTGCAACTCACTATTGCTACCCTAAGGAGGTAGGGATTCGGAGACCAGCATGGCAATGGTCAATCCCCAACACTAAATAACTAAGATCAAGACGTCATCATCTCGGCCCCACAACGAATGGAAATGGTCCACACCTTCGAGAAGGCCCGTGGGAAGCCACCCGGTGCTTGTCGGCTGTGGAGCGCCGATATCATTGGTTTGATTCGTTACGTAAGGCGATCAGCCGAGGGGCATGTCATGTCAGCCACGGACCCAGGTCCCAGTCAGGCTGTTCTTGCAGCCTGCATTTGGCATCCGCTGACGAGCATCGTGCGATAGAGCAATCGTATCTGCCTACAGAGGATGCGTTCCAATCGTCCGACGCCATGCCGCGATTCTTCCGAGGACCTCGCAAGAGCGCGAGTCTCACTCTCAGCGCCGACCTTGGATCTTCGTTGGAAGTAGATGAGAGGGGAGACGTGTCTGTAACGCACGAGCAGCGGCGTTTTTCTCCAAAGCCAAGACGCACATTGCGCTTTCTTGACGACTTCAAACGCAATGAGTCCGATAGCTTCTTTCCAGGACATCACCTCAGCCCGATAGTCTCGCGGACCCGTCAGCCTCAGCATGCCTTCAGTGGCCGCTTCGCAGAGTTGGAGATTGCTCAATCCGGTCTCGCCAGGCGTCTGAAGGGCCGGCATCTGCAGATGATAGCGATCAGCGGATCAATAGGTACATCTCATCTTGTTGCCGTACCAAGTTCACGGCATGGTCGTGTCTCGCGGCTCACACGTGCATTATCCAGGAACTGGTCTTTTCGTCATGAGCGGCGCGTCATTGGCAATCAGTGGTCCAGCATCGTTATTACTCGCATTCGCAACTGCAGGGGTCGCAATGTACTGCACGTGTCAGGCTCTGGGAGAGCTGGCTGTTGTGTTCCCCATAGCAGGGTCATTCTCTTCGTGGGCGACACGTTTTCTGGACCCTTCGTGGGGTTTCGCCCTCGGTTGGAAGTAGGCCTCTACGATTCGCCAGTTGTCGGCCTTTTTCACAACTTGCTAACCTGGTCATCATAGCTATGCTTTGCAATGGCTCATTTCCCTGCCGGTGGAAGTTGTTGCTGCTACTGAGGTTATCGGTTATTGGAATACGTCACTGCCGCGGGCAATATTCGTGACGCTTTTTGTTGCTCTTATTGTTGCAATCAATATGCTTGGGGTGAAAGGGTATGGAGAAGCAGAGTTCATTTTCGCCATCATAAAGATTACCGCCGCCACTAGTTTTGTGTAAGTCACCGTCAGCGCAGTCAACCCCGGACGCGCTTGCTAAAAAAAGATTTGGCAGCTTGTTTGGCGTTGTTCTCAACTGTGCGGGCACTCCAGAGCGCGGCTACATCGGATTCGAATACTGGAGGAACCCTGGTGCTTTCAACAACGGCTTCAAGGGTTTCTGTAGCGTCTTGCTCAACGCCGTATTTGCATTCAGCGGCACCGAGTTGATAGGTCTTGCTGCAGCAGAAACTGCGAACCCGCGCAAGTCTCTCCCCATGGCCATCAAGCAGGTGTTTTGGAGAATATGCCTCTTTTATTTCAGCATTGTCCTTCTCATCGGCCTTGTCGTGAGGCATAATGACCCGCGGCTCGTCGAAGGCGCCAACAACGCAGACGCCAATGCGTCGCCTCTCGTCATCGCTTTCCAGGAAGCCGGCGTACAGGTCTTGCCGTCGGTGACCAACGCAGTCATTCTAATATCAGTTTTATCCGTGGCCAACTCGGCCGTGTTCGGTTCTTCTCGGACACTTGCAGCGCTGGGGGCGCTCAACCAAGCCCCAAAGCCACTGGCATATATTGATAGAAAAGGCCGACCGCTCATAGCAATCGGTCTGGCGGCGGGCATTGGCCTCCTCGCCTACCTCGCTGATCTCAGCGAGCGGGACAACGTCTTGGAGTGGCTGGTGGGCATTGGTGCTTTGTCCAGCGTTTTCACGTGGGGGACAATTTGTCTCTGCCACATTCGATTCCGCTCGGCGTGGCTTTCGCGGTGTCGCAGTGTGCGTGAACTTCCGTACCGCTCCTCTGTTGGCGTTGCGGGCTCCTATCTGGGCCTGTTTGTGAACGCCGCGACTATTGTCGCGCAGGTTTGGGTTGCAGTTGCTCCCATCGATTATGATGCAATGACCAACGTGGACTTGGCGAGGAATGCAGTACTCAAACTGTTGAGTGGCGTCTTGATACTAATCTTTTATTTCGTCCACAAGGTTATCCACAGGACTAGATATGTGCGACCTGTAGACGTTGACCTCAACACAGGTCGGCGAGACTACAACGTCGTTCTTCTCGAGGCTCAGGAAAGAGAACAGCGGGCCAAGTGGCCGAGATGGAAGAAGATGTACAAGATCTTATGCTAGACTTTTTCACAGCGGTATAGAATATATGGGCCTTCAAACGTAGCGGTGCGCAAGCAGCGTGACAGCGACTATCGGGTTTCCCCAGTGGCTTTCCCGTAGGAGTGTAGGGGAAGTGCTGCAAAACGAGCTATAGAGCGAAGGCTAGATAATTTTCACTACACGAATATAAAGCCATTCAAGGTTCCCGACACCGTAAAAGTCTTCGAGAGGGTGGGCTGGGGCAGATTGCTGTTCCTCTGATAGCCCGCATACTCCTCTGCTACTTGTCTGTTGAGCGTGCATAATCTTCGCCCTATAGCTACAACAAAATATATGTCAACGGCAAATACAGCAAAATACTACCTACAATAAAAAAAAACGCATATAAAAACTAAGAAAACAACTTTTATATATAAATTGCCTATAAGGAAGAATTATATATATTAATATATAAATTTTAATAAGCTTTAAGCTAATATTTCTTTATAAATATAATTAAAGTTAAAAGAGAAATACTGTGATGGACCAGCCCTATTGGGCCATAGCGGGTGCCAGCCGCAGTCATCCCAGCAATGCTGGAGCCCTTGACCGTTAAGTTAAAAGGGTACGTATTGAACAAGCTGTCCACAGCTTGCTCAATCTGGCACTATATAGGTCCTGCACGGGCTTGCCCTCTATCGCGCATTGCAGTGCAGTGCATTTATTGCAGCGCATCTATTCTATTAAGGTCGAGCATAGCTCAGACCATAACATAGCCCCCTTCTGTGCCTCCTATACCTCGCACCCCCCAAGGGTGGCGGTGGCCCTTGTGAGCCCAGGTTGAGTATCCCTCGCACTCTCTTTTTGTGCGGCTTGAACCTGCGACCCTAGGAAGCTTGTTCAAATGTAATGGACCAGCCCTATTGAGCCATAGCGGGTGCCAGCCGCAGTCATCCCAGCGATGCTGGAGCCCTTGACCGTTAAGTCAAAAGGGTACGTATTGAACAAGCTGTCCACAGCTTGCTCAATCTGGCACTATATAGGTCCTGCACGGGCTTGCCCTCTATCGCGCATTGCAGTGCAGTGCATTTATTGCAGCGCATCTATTTTATTAAGGTCGAGCATAGCTCAGACTATAACAAATACTAGCTAGAAACTAGTAAAAAAGCTAATAGCTATAAAGAGTAAACTACTTTATAAAATAAAAAGCGACTAAAGTATATTTTAAGCTACTAGCTATACTTAATTAAGTAGCTTTACTATAATATTTACTTATAAATAACTCTCTTTCTCTCTAACTAAATAGAGAGAAAATTAAGCCTTTATAACTATACTTTTTAATATACACTATTATATAAGTCTTTTCTATTATATATTTAAGTCTATTAAAGTAAAGAAATATAGAACTTATAGTATAGCAGCTAATAATACCTCTAGCTATAACTTAAGTTTAGCTTACTCTCTACTTATTTCTCTCTCTCTTTTTCTCCTCTTAATAACTTAGCTTTAATTAGACTTATAACTTCTTAAAGCTTACTTTCTTAAGCTAAAGTTATTATTAAACTTACTTATAGCTACTTTAGACTTATTTATACTTTCTTCTAAAAAATAAAGCTTAATAGCTACTAAATTAAAGTAAGTAGCTAAAGTTTTAAGTAAGTTCTTTATTTTAACTAGAAAAGTAGTATATATATTTTAAATTTAAATAAACTTTACTATAGATATAGCTATAGTAGTAATTAATATTATAATTTTCTTTAACTACTTTAAAATCTTTTTATAATAGTTAGTACTATTATTTTATTTTTTAGCTAGTATTAAGCTAGCTAAAGTTTACTTTTTTCTCTTTTAATTATTAACTTTTTTTAAAGCTTTAAAGTTCTTAAAGAATTAAGAAGTAAACTAAAATAAATAGTTATTAATATTAAGCTAGAAATAAAGTAAACTATATATTATAATATAAAAAAGTATTATTTTAAAGATAGTTTTTAACTTCTTTTAAAAATATAAAAAAATAAAATATATATTTAATATTATATTATACTAAAGTTAAGTAAAAGCTAATAAATATAAAATAAAGAAATAACTTATAAAAGTAAATTTATTATTATAAATATAATAATTAAAATATAAAGTAGTTTTT